ATTTCGTCGATCGATCCCGAGAAAAATGTTACATACCCGATCTCTCTCTTCGTTTATATATATGAGTTTAGCATAATTCGTATCATATATAATTTTGTTATCAATTTTTTTATATTATTTTCGTATAATTTTTTTTTAATAATTAAAAAAACACTCCCGATCACATAAACGAAAAATGCGCATTTTCTATCAGGCATCACATCACCTAACATATATTTATTACGAGGATTTTGAAATCTTATTTTGTATTTATATAAATAGAATTTTCTTATCGGATTTTTTTCTATTGCATAATCGACAGGAAAAAAGCATCTAATTATTTTATTCTCTCGTACTAATGTTATCTCGCGTTAAATAAAAGCGCACGGTCTATCTATGCAACTCTATGCATATCTGACGTATCTGGCGCGATACCTAACACGTGATGTCGACATACATCGTCCTACCGACGTCACACGATGTCACTGTTGGTGACGATAGCGCTTTCGAGCGGCGCCATGTTTCGAAACGCCGGGAAAGCCAGGAGCGATGAAATTTGCGTCGCGTCGTGTCGACGAGATGCGCGACGCGCGTTTATTATCATTTTACTCGAATGCCCCGCGCGCTCGAGACGCGTTATATGTAACTCGTCGCCGTCGCCGCCCGGGGTTCATCCATCCTCTTCCTCCCCTCGTCGCGTCCCGGCGTCGTATAATCTCCCCCTCCCCCGCGAGACCCTCTTGGATCCTTAAAACGGCGCGCGCGGAGAGCCGGGGCCCCCGACTGCGAGAGCGCGGGCGACGCAGGAACGTTAAAATTTAAGGTTTCCGTCGACACGTCGCGACTCATAAATTTCCGCGCTCGAACGCCGGCTTTTTCCTTACCTTCTTATTGCCGCTGCCGTTGCCGCCATCTTCTCCCCCGCCGCGATCCGTCCCGTCTCGTCGCTCGTCTCCTTTTCCTCGCTGCCACCGGCGACAAATTACACGCGCACTTTTGTCCGCACGCGGAAACGCGGATGAGCACTTACTCACTCGGCACACGTTCTCTTCGCGAGGTATAAATTCTCAATTTTTCTCCCCGAAGCCGATTTATTCGCGACCGAACTCTTTGCGCGCGCGCGCGCGCGACGGTTGCGCCTCGATTAACAGCTTTTAAAAATCGGCAGCGCCCCCCTACGGAATAATGAGCTGGAGAAAGTGGGAAATTCAAACAAAAATTCAAATTCCTAAATAGATAATATAATACATATATTCGCGCACTTATGTTTAAAGCACTTATACGTACGATCTTTAGAAATGTTATAGTTTCTTGCTAAATTCGTACTTGAAACGATACCTTTGCTCGACAAAGAGAGAGCGTACAAAGGAATTCTTCTAAATAAGGAATTTTCCCTCTTGACGGAACATTTTTCTTTTAAGCAACTTTCAACGGAGAATTTTCTCCATCGTTTTACGCTCTATCATTTTTAGTTCAAACGATGATTAACAATATCACATGTGAAACTTGTACTCGATGCAAGGAACAACTGTTTATTCTTACGAAATTTGGGATTCAAACTGTCATGCGAGATTTTCGATTAAACGGTGCAAAGCATGCTGTCATCTAATGGTAGCAACTTTAACTAGAACGTGTGATAAGGTAAGGTTATCGATTAATGGTAATTTATCGACGTAACGAGATATTCAAATGATACAATATACGTTCACACAAATTGTGCTTTATATAATTATTTAAATTAAATATAAAATTTATAAAGTTTTGTGAAACGGATGAGTAGCTTTTCATTTCAATTTTAATGATATATAGCTAAAGATGCTTAAGTTAAAAGGACGATTATACAAAACACTCTCGTATACTGTCAACGGTTTATTTTGTATTTCTTTTCTTTTTGCTAAATTATTGGAATGTTAAATAAAACACATTTTTGTTTCACATAAAAGAAAACTCTGCGCGATAACTTTCTCGTAAACTTACCTTTACACAGATAACGAAAATACTATAAAGATAATAGAAAAATCTATAGTTTTTTCATTCCCCCTTTGCAAATATATAGATCGCCGATATATTAGAAACAATCGTCATCGAGATCTATATATTGTCATCGATATAACAGACATATTTAACTTGGTTCGAAGTCGCATTTCAATTCTGCTCATCAACTTATGTGCAGTAAAACAACGTGAAAATGTATACATATATTGTTGATAACGCAATTATTGCTCTCGCTTAGGAATTTGTTTTAAGCCCGAATGCATCTGGAAATCATCAAGGCCGTCCTTTTTTTATTGCTAGACATATATCTGGATAACATTCGCTTCGTACCAAATTTCGCGAGATTTATTATAACAATACCATTAACGTCTGCAATTAAGTGTTTGTATTATAATATTGTATTGAATAGAGTCAAATTTCTCGCGACTCTCTCTCGTGACGACTAAATACTCTAAGTTAAATCGAATCTGCATCTTCACATATAAAAACAATTCGCAATTCGAAATATGTCAAAATTATTACAGGATTTCTATGTGCAAAATTAGGCTGATTAGGCCGACAGAAAGAGTGAAAATTACAAGAATATTGTTTCTCTTATAAAAAATTACAGCCTCAATTATAGAGACATTAGTTTTTCTATATCTATAAAAGATATCTGTTCAAAACTATAGATCAGATCAGTAAGTGATTCACAATTTATAGAGTAAAAAAAATATTCGATAATCGAGATTATATAGTATATTCCACCATTCCAGCTTTAATCGTTATTAGATTAATGCGCTAATGGTCGGATATTCTATATATTAGTCTACGATCGTGTCGGCTATCAAAAAGATGTGAAAATTTACAGGAGCTATAAAAATAACGTCTACTCATTCCAGATATCTCTTTACAGGTATTACATGATTTTTGTGCCCGGTATGTATCAAAGAAGTACGATATAGCGAACGTATGTTACTACTAAGCAACAAGATGTAGCGAGTAATGTTAATACTGTTTCACACGCGGCATGTTACAATAATTAATTCTCGCATTATTTAAAATTTAAGCGAGTCGTTACAATAGATTATGCGAATTTTCAGTCCAATATATGTATCTTACATGTTTGATTTATCTGACGCCTACACAATCGCCATTTCCTTCATTCGCACGGCACGTTTAGAGCTATGACTATTCGCTTTTCAATCATTCTATTTACATTGAATATGATTTTCACATTGCAAAATCGAAATCATACGGCTGTACGAACGCTGCATGCCGAGAATGCAAACTTTTTCTTCGCATAACACATTGTAATGTTTTACAAAATTCTCTACTGCAACTAGTTTGTTAATTAGTTTACTCTCATTAACTAACAATATATAAGCCGTAAATAATCTCTTTAGACTAACTCTACCATATACATACAGTAAGCCGTACAATTATTGCACATAACCGTCCGTTTTTATGAGTAGACATGTATTTAATGATACTTTGTTCTAAGTGATAATAATACGCTTACGATATCGAGAATAACATTTTGTGATAATATTTCTCCTGTTCTTTATAAGCACGAGAAAGTTAAAAAGACGGGGTTATTTGATTGATTCTTTTTTCATTTATCCAATATGCAGTTTTAGGATAAAAATGATTTACAAGTTACAAAATGTATTGTCTGTAAATAATTTGAAAATGCTTTTATTACAAATAAATAATCGTTAATAATTTCTGAAACAATATACTTTAACCAAAACATATAAGTGCATCCGAAAAAATTTTCGAATAATGGTCACATTATTTTTATTCAAATTTCAAAACATAACATGAAATAATCTCTTAACTTGCGATTTAAACAGAATGTTTAAAAATATGAAATTTTATGTGTATTGATATTATTGTGTTTAAAAATGCATCTATAAAAACATATAATTTTTACTTAAACGTCATGAAATAGAAAAGGGAACAATATTTTGAATAGAATGTAGAAAGAAAAAATTAATTGTGTGTATATGTATATATATACTTACATCGCAATTATAAAACTTATTAAGAACTCTCTCGATGTGTTTTGAAAAATATTTGAATATATATACAAAATTATTATATACAAATTATTTTTTTTTTATACACACGAAATATACTACTTTGCAGTCCGTTTATATCTTCGTTAAAAAATGTATAATGTACCAAATAAAAGATATATAAATAATTTTTAGTATATGTAATCTCATTTTATCAAAATATATCAAGAATAGTTACAGGTATAACGAAGATATAAACGTGTCGCATGTATATGTATATATTTATATGCACGTATGTATACATACATATATAATATATCAATTACATACTGTACATATACATAGCAGTATTACAAACTTATACAATATTTTACACTGTGATGTACATCTATATATCCAGTAACAGATATAATACCATTTTTACATTCTATTCTACAAAAACTGATTCTACATGACGTAAGTCTACAATTTAAAGAAAACGTAATCTCGTGGTTGTACAATATCTGGAGAAATGTGTATTTGCATCAACTTTGACTTTGGTTTTTGATTCTATAATTCGTGTAATTTGTAATCTGCAAAAATCGACATATTTACAGTGTCGGTTTTTTCGAGCACACGCTAGTAATATCGTACTTATCAAAAAATCCCGGCTTTGTAAATAGTATTTTGGATGGAATGCTTTTATCGAAGAGTCATGTTTTATTATCCATTTTTAAAAACCTTATGGCAAGATTTTTTGTAGAGGAATGTAATAGAATACTTATGGCTAATTAACTACTGATGTTATTACGATCTAAAAATCCGTAAAAGTCCGATAGGCGCATGAAATTCATTAATACTGAATATTGCATCTTGTCATTTCTTTCTTTAGTAAGAGACAAGCATTTTGATTTATTAACGGGAATATATATTTTTATCTCAAAGTTTTGCATTTTAAACCTTTTTTATCAATTCTTTCAATATTTTAAATTCAGTTTCAATAAAATAATGTAATATTATCCTTTCAAGAAATTTTTTATAAAAATATATTGCACATATATCAAAATGAATTCAATCTTTCTTCGCTTTAAGCAATAAAAATAATGGACGAAGTAACTTCTTTAACTAAAAAATTAATACTGCAAACTAAGCACGTTACATGTTCAAATCTTACATATTATGAATAAAGAGATCAAATTAGTAGCATTGAGATTCAATCATTAGGGATTACGAACGTTATTTCGATATCTTGGAAAGCTGTTATCTCCTTGCATTTTAATTTATAAAGCGGTACTTTCTATCGGTGTCGTTGGACGATTAGGTGTGCAGCACCTTTCGGATGTATGGCATAAGTCCGGTGTATGTCTGCTATCCCTCATTTGCGCGAAATCAATATCGGCGAAGAAATCGCTCTTCATAGTACCAAGTGCACTATCGGAGCCAAAACTGTCCTGTCTGCAAACATCGATACCCTTGTAGCACCTGGTGTAATCAGCCAGACAATTCTTTAAATCGCTGCCATAAAGAGACGAAGTCATCATCGGAGTCTTAGTATCATCGCTCATTGATTCGGCTACAACAGGACGATTACCGTCGTCACTCGCATTTTGCCTATTAGGTGTGATAAGATTATCGCGCTTTGATACGCTGGAATTGGAATAAAGACTGTCTGTATGATATAGACTCGAACTATATAGTTTTTTGAAGGAATCATTCTTGCGAAAATCATCCTTCATGTAGGTATCGAACAACGAGTAATCTTTATACTTAGACGTGCAATCTAATACTGTGGGACTTCCCTGTCTAGACAAGATGCTACCGACGTCGGACACGTTGTTCTCTTGTTTGGATAGTCTATCTTTAACATCTTCCTTTTCGATGACATTCTCTTGATTCGGTGGGACTTTTGACTGTACCGATTTCTGTAACGATGAAACGCCATCAACTTTATCAATTTCTTTATTAGAAAATGCGTTCTTCGTAGTCTCCTTAGTCGGTGATATTTTAGTTCTTCGCAGATATGATCCGCTGCATGGCTTCGTGCCTTCGCCAACAACTTTTTTTGGATTGATGTCACCAGAGTTTACATCGTTTCGATTATTAATCGCTTTATTTTCCTTTTCTATAGCGCCGATAGATTTCCCGATTTGCCGCAAATACGAGCCAACGGAGCTTGCAGTGTCTGGTATTTTAAATTTATTTTCTGATTTCACCTTACAACCACTCGTATCGTTGGACTTCTCCGTTGATTTATGTTTCAGATTGTTACTGATTTTATATGAACCTTTACTGTCGATTATATAATCTGAAGCGTCAGAAACTGTACACTGACTTGCGCTTCCTACGTACTTTATTTTTTCTATATTTGGTACTCGAGTTACGTTATGTTCGCTTGTATCAATCTTTGAATAAGCGTAGATATTTGGAATATCGGGAGATGTATCTTTTAATTTGGCATTATTATTTCTTAAATAACGTCCACTAAAACTGCTGGAATCGGATGAAATTACAATGGACTTCTCTTTATCAAAGTCTTTTGATTTGGAATTTTGTCTCGAGTAACGTCCCACATTGTTCGAGTTGTCATTACTTTTGCTATTCTGCCTCGTATACCTGTTACGTGGACTGACGACTTCAGGCACGAGAAGCGTGTTAGATATCGGTACGGGTTGTATTTCACGTTCTAGTGTACTGTCATCGCAGCCGCTAGATCGCTTTTTCTCTTGATGCACTTGGCCCTCCTTAATAGGTTTTAATTGTGGCGCCAAAGTTTCCGGAGTTGTGGATTCGCTACTACTCGGACTAGGTCCTTTATAATTTCTTATATCAAAATCTAGATTTGCCGGTAATTCGGCGCCTACCGATAGATGCATGGCCAGTCCTTCCAACCAGACTTCCATAACTTCGAAAGGTGGTCTCTTATCCGGATTCAGATCGCAGCAAAGAAATGCGATCATATAAAAGGTCTCGGGGCAATTAGAGCAAAATTTTTCTTTGAAAACATTTTGATTCAGGCCAAAATCGGACGATCTAGGTAAATAGTCGGGGTCTGCTTGGACTCGACCTATGATCTCGCATACAACTATGCCAAAGCTAAATATATCCACTTTCTCATCATATTTGTTGCCCTTCATCATCTCGGGCGCCATCCAGTAAGGATTTCCGACAACTGTGTACCGTTTCTTCCGCTCTTTCTTTGAGGTCTTCACTTCTCCATCGGAATGTCGATTATATTTGCGATTATCCGGCGAACTGCCATTTTGAATGATCCTCGCCAGACCGAAATCTGCAACTACCACAGTCTTATCCTCACGAACGAGACAATTGTGTGAATTCAAGTCGCGATGAATGATATTCATGGAATGCAAGTAGGCCATGCCGGCAGCGATATCTTTCGCAAAGGATGTACGCTGTTCCCATGGCAATGGTTCGTTCGTATCGTGAAGCAGGGCCCTTAATGTGCCACCTGCTATATACTCGGTAACCAAATGCAGTTTTTTATCCTTATAAAGGACACCGATAAATCGAAGAACGTTGTTATGGTGTAATGAACGCAGCACTGCAACCTGTTGGATAGTTTCCGAAAGAAAATAAATAAATAAATAAGAACTGAAACTAATAATTTAACATCGAAAAAGCATTTTATATATATATATATATATATATATATATATATATATATATAATGTTACATAAATGGAATAAAAAAAGTGTGCAAGTATTTTTGACATTAAGTATATATAATTTAATACTTTTGAATGCTCAGATATTGCATATTTATTTATTTATTTAAAAAATGAAATTACCTCTTTTAAAAAGTTTTTCTGAGCATCTTCATCCACTCTATATAACTCCTTGAGAACCATCACTTCGTCCGTGTCGCGATGTGTAACTTTGAATACTTGTCCAAAGAATCCTTTACCTAGAAGCTCGCCCTTCACCAAATCACTCGCTCGAAATATTCTCTGATTCTTTGGCTCTACGCGAAAGGATCTGGTTCGGCTCAGATCATAAGTAGGATTCGTTGGAGAAGATCTATGGTGGATTTCAATTTGATAAATAAATTACACTCTAATTACTAAGAATCATCTTGACTTACCCATCAAGTAATCGTGACATAGAACTACTGCGTTCTTTATGCATAGGATCTCTCGTCCTTCGTAATTGTCGGCTCCGCGCACCACTCATATAACCCTCATCTCGACGTTTAAACAGTCGCTCTTTGTTTTCGGGACTTGTCCTGGGATTACCAACGCACGTCAGCATCGTCGAGGACGGTGAGCAGAACGTGGGCCGTCGTGACACCGCATCTGGATCGTGCTCGATAGTCAACTAAAACATCAAAGATTATGTCATTTAATTGTGCCAAATTACAAAGCGAATGAGACAATACTTTAGAAATGTTTTGGCTTACTTGTAAAACTGTATCTGAATATTGTATGAGATTTTCGATATTTTCCACAGGCTGATCTTTAACAGGGGTGCCATTTATTTCTAAAATTCGGTCGCCAATGTGTAATGATATAAGATCACTGGACATATTCAATCTGTAACATTTATTTTATGGAATATTTTTATTGTCACTATTACATTGCAGTAGCAGAACATGCAAACTTTTGTATGCATTATATTTTCTCTTTATTGTCACATATATTCACATGGCAACACAACTTATGATAAAAAATAATTGCCAGAATATGGAACAACTTCAAAACACCAGCGATAAGATTAAAAAAAGACCTCACAAGATTACTAAAAGTTACATAAACAATGGGAACATATTATACATTAAAGATTAATTAATTGTATTTTCCTAATTATATTAATCTATACTTTAAAGTGCTCTTTTATTAGATAAGATGATACGAAAATTTATCAAAAACTAGAAATCAAAAAGAAGCAAAAAGTATAACATTCAGAAATAATATTGTATTATAATAATATTGTATTATATTAACTATTTAAGTTTTTAGTTAAATTACAAAATAGCTTTTCATTTGTATGTTTAAGTGATAATATATGTTAATAGCTGCAATTCCTCAACAATTATCTAAAATTATTCTAACAACATAAACTGTCACTTCTTGATATGCTACATTTTGAACATGCACATAATACAGAAAAAAATGATAGTTATAATATGTAATTAACATATAATATGATTGTCACATATGTTTTAGTTAAAATTACACAAAATCATTATTGAAATGCACAGTCTGTCAGAATTAGCAATATGTAGTGCATATTATTGATTTGTTATGCAATACCTATGATTAGAGAAGTGGCAGCATAGTCTAAATAGGACCTCCATCACAGAGGCCAGCAGCTTACTGATCTTTCCACGAACATTTCTCATTAACCTGCATTTTAGTTGAATGTTATTAGAGGCTAATATATGTAAATTTATATACACCAACTTTCTCTTAAATAATCAAAATAATCATGCATTGTTATAAGTATTTTAAGAGAAGCAATTGTTTTAAATGTGTGTGTATATATATATATATATATATATATAAGTTTATCCGCTGTATATAAGTTAATCCTGAAGAAATCGATATATAATGTACTTTTATCATATATGACATATGAATTTTGTTTATTTATCTATATAATTTTAATCTCTAAATTTAAAAAATCTATATTTAAATAGCCATCTGTGCACACAATTGATAAATAATAGATATATGGTACAACAGGATATTTATAAAAACAAAATATATTATCATACATACTCTGAAATACGCAGCAAAGCACCACAACTGCGAGGACTGGGAGCTGTGTCTAATGTGAGTTTGATTCCTCTCTGCTTATCTGGATCTGTCGTGCTAGGAGGTATTTCGACTAGCCTAATGCTGTGTGGTTTTCTAGCAAAAGGATAGTTTGCTGTTCTGTTGAGTGGTTGCATCTGTCGCTTATAGCAAACCCCACAATATAATTTAGACCGTTCAACGAGTGCATAACTTTCACCATCTCCAATAAAAGCACCGCAAGAAGTACAAGCAAAGCATTCTGGGTGAAATTTGTGATCGCCTGCCAGCATAACAGGACCTGTGATGATCTGACCACAGCCTTGACATGCTTCGCCATAAGCGGCCCAATAATCGTCTTTACAAAACAGCAAGCCATCTTTCTCAAAGTACCAAGACGATAGGCCGATATCGCACGCCGAACATCTAAAATTAATTATAATTTAAAAAATTTTTTCTCAATATAAAAATGAAATATAATTAATATCGTATTACAGTTGCAATATATTTTATATTATGTATAACATTATTTTCTTTATAATTGTGTTAATGTTTTTACCGAAAACAATCAATGTGCCATTCTTGGTTCAATGCCTGTATAAATTCATCTTCATCAATAGCATTCAAACAACCCGCACATATTAATGTTCCCCCACTTTCCTCGCCTCCTAGATCTAAAAAAGAAATTATTATCATTAATAAATTAAGGCTCTATGTATTGTTAATTCATCAATCCAAAATATTATATTTATGTTTCAAAATATCAATATTTTCACGAATATATATGATATGCGAAAACATATGTGTAATCATTCTAGATAAGAAAAAAGGCGGACTCGAGGGATGTACTTGGGAAGGAAACATGAATCACATATTTGACATTAGGCACAAGATCGACCGAATATGTAACGAAGTAGCTGACGACGATTGGAGCATGACGCAGATTCGTTTAAACGATGCGTATCGCAATAATGTGCGAAAATTCTGTCGCGAAAAGATATAACGCGATGAAAGACGCATAAATAAACTTATTAATGCGTGGGCAACACGAGAGACACGGAAGATAGGACGCCCACGCGATGCGTGACGCGTTGACGTTTCGTTGACGGCATTTCGCACGAGCAACGTCTCATCGTCGCGACGCCCTTTTTATCGGTAAGATTGAGTTATCACCCATAACTTGATTACCATAACATGTTTTTCCTTCCCAAATATACCTACCATTCGTCAAAACTTCATCCATCACGGCATGTATGTACGATCGACACACTCCCACTCCGCTCCACTTGATTCCACTCCGATTCGATCACTGAGCGCGGGATTCAAGTAGATTTGAACTGATTCGAACGCCAGACACGATCGCAACGACACGACGTCATGTTGCGTGAAACTTGCGAAGCAAACAGTGCAGAAATTTAACGGCGGCCATTTACGAGTAACATGAGCGGATTTTCGTTACCAGTGGAATACAGTACAGTACCACAATTTTTCCAATTTTCCTTCTTTTTATATTTTAATAATCAAATATCATCATATCACACGAGAACGATAACATATGTATTATAGAAATCGATAGCCAAGTAGCATAAAAAATATATAAAATATATAACTTTCAACACGGGAGAGTCACAATGAAACACAAAAAGTGCACTTGCATATATATTTAGATTTTGAGAAATATACAATTAGTTTTTTATAAACAGGTGTATTTTTGCATGTAGCTTTCTTATTTTTACAACTTATATCTGAATCTTAAAGATAAATATGTTTTGACGCTTTATGAAAATAAAACTTAATAGGATATTGACATAGTATATCACGATTGTTACATATTAACGCTTTATTTCTATTAAATGAATTAATACTACATGTAGAAATCTGTCAAATATTCAAGAAAATCATTATTTTCAATATATATACAATTATCTATATATTAAGTGAATATAATATTTTAAAATAGCATACAAAACACATTCTTTGTGCATTATATTTTAAAATAGCTAATTTTTTTCTAGCAGATAAAAATATTTGTTACCTATCACAATCAGTATAATTGTAAACGCATATCCTTTTATCCTTAAATGAATTAGAGTTCAGTGTAATTGAAATAAATAATTATGGCACACATTTTTGATAGATGTAGCATATAAACAATAATATACAATATATTACTAATGCCAACTCAAATAATCAAATATAATATAATTATTGCTATTACTATTACTTTCAAAAAAGAAGAAATTATGTTGTTGCCATTTTATAATAATTTTTTTGCAGAATTATTTTCAGAAAGATTTTATTATATAACGTAAAATAGATTTAATTAAGTATAACAAATATTTTTTTACAGGTAGCCAAACTCTTAATAGAGTCATTGAAATGAGGTGCATTAAATATATACAGTAAGATAAATTTAGTTTAAGGATAAAGAGTTGTCTATCATCTATAAGCTCCAGACAATATCTATATATTGCACTATTATAAAAGGATTGACATAACTTAATCTTTATGGTATGTATTATTTGATATCCTATATATTAATGTGCAATAGTAAGGACGGCAATTTGATATAAAGAATGTTATTATTATATTGTAATCACATATTGAATCATTGGCCTATCTATTTGGACCATTCTATCGTTTTTGGGGCTGTCCTTCTATTGCTTCCAAATTTATTTCATATTTGAAGGCATTAGGGGCACATACTTATCGCTAGGTCGAAACTTGTATTGCGAGCACAATCGATCAGACACAGCCTCTGCATAGCCATTTCTGCAACACATTTTATTGCTCAATCAAATAAAAAATCTCGACAGTAGAGCAATTTGCTAGATTGGCTTTCATAAAATGAGAAAACCTCCACCAAAGAATTAAAATTATTAGATTTAATACTATTTTGTGTAGAAGAACCTTCACCTGAGAATTAAAGTTATTATATAAACATTGAGAGAGAGAGAGAGAGAGAGAGAGAGAGAGAATAATTATGATATACAGAACCATCGCCATGTATTAAATGCTGAAAAAGTAAAAAGACATTTACAGCGCAAAGTCCTTTTTTTATATTTTGAAATCTCTTCAAATAAAGATGTGACAGCTTAAGGAAAATTTCTCTGGCTGACCATAAAATCCTTAAGTATGAAGGAGAAGGTTGTCAACAGTGGTCTTCGGAATCCTCTACTCTCTGATAATTCGTTTGGGAAATAGCTTGGGGACTTCTCCCATTGTAAAATGCAACTAAAATGATTCTATATTATATAACAAAAACGCATTTATGTAATATTTTTTAATTAAAAAAATGATAAAGTCTATCCTAGTTTCTCTTATAATTATGCAATAATTTATTATTATATGTATCTAGAATAAATATTTGTCTAAAGTAAAGATACACACATACATATGTGTGGGTGTGTGTGTGTTTACTTTATTATACATACATACATACATATATACATACATACATACATACATATGTATATATACATATATATGTATATATGTAGTATCTTTACTTTAGACAAAATCTATTCTAGATACACACACACACACACACACACACACACACATATATATAAAATTTTGAAGACCTTTTTATATAAAATATAAAATATATACCTTTGCCACTGTGAACACGGTCTTCTTTCTTTGAAGCAGGTGACCTGGATAACGTTGAAGAATAACGCACCGAGGGTATTAGCCACTTCGGTATTGAGATTTTGTAAACATCTGCGGAATTTGGCATCGCAATCGCAATGTGAGCGAGTAAATGGTGAATTATTGCATATACCGTGTATACACTCTTGCGGCGCTATCGTGTACGGACAATGATCATGTTCCCTGCAACAGGCGTCTTCAGCCGAATGTTGACCCAAATCGTTATAGCCAACTGTCACATTGCCCGGCCCGCACCATTTGGTACCCGGATATATTAAACCACTGCCAGGTCCTTGATTCTATAGAAAATTTAATAATTTTTTGGAAACAAATTTGGAAAGATAATTATCATCTCATAAAAAAGAACTTATTTTAAGTATAAAAATGCATTTAAAAAGATAGAAAAGGAATCAGATAATAATTAAAAACATTTATTTTCTTGAGAACAAATGGCTTACCTTTCCTTTGTTTTGTGAAGCTTTACAGGTCTCTTCGAGGTCCGCGACAAGGTTGCTGGAAATTTGTCGAACCTTCCTGGGATCTGCACCGAGCACCATTCTCTGGATGGTCCCACGATCACTATAAAGAGCGCAAAAGGGCGCGTCGGCGTTCAACTCTACCATTCTGGACATAGTAGTGTCGGCGACCAGTACGCTCGCTTCAATCTTCTGGAGCCACAGGATCGGCAGAATGCTGAATAGTATGGCGATCATCTGCAACGATACGTAAGAAATGATGAAACCATGTGAAACAAGTTGTGAAAAATGACTGGCGAATATTTTGACGGAGGTTTTTTGTATCTCTCTAACGCAAGCAAAAAAAATATGCAAGGTCATTCAACGATCGTCCTTCTTCTTGAGTGTCTGCGTTTGCGAAATTTCAATTCACGAACGACTTTCAAGAAAAAAAAATAGAAGTCCATTTGCGAATAGCCAAACATCAGATTTCGATTAATACTTGACCGCAATTTTAAATGGTCACTCGATCCCAAAGCCATTATTAATGCAACCTTTTCGACGACAGAATAAAACGAAAAGCAGGCTGCTTGGTGCAGTAAAACTATTGCATAACGTAAATTAACATATTTGTGCAAATTATCATAAATCGATTAAGAAATTCAACGATTTTATTTAGTGAATTCCTGTACTATGTATTTAGCAAAAATTGTTAGTGAATAATTTTCCATACACACAAATGTTTTCAGTAAAGTACAAAGCGATTTTTTCGTAGCGAAAGGATTAACAAGTAGATGCGAATTGCTCATTTATTACACTGCTATTCATTTACGAAATGTAAAATTACAATATAATAATTTTTTAGATCGACTAAAATATCAAAGTATATAAAGCATGTATTTTCATGTCATTTGTCAAAGTACAGAATTGCCGGGTGCAGGCAAACGATTAAGTTCTCGGCGGATACATTTAATTCTGAGAATCGAACCATTCTGTGACCTCGGCTCGGTTTGGGTCGTTTCAATTCAGACCGATCGTGAAAACGAGAGTGCGCGCCCTGAAGCAGAATACGCGCGTAACAACGATGTAGGTCAACGAGGTCCATTGACGAACTTGTCTCTTGAACCTGTACTGCTGAGGGATGTCGCCCCAACTAATTCATACGGTCTGGACGACTGACCCAGTATACCGCATCGACGGTCATTACTCGTCGCAAATCGTTATAATCAAGTCATCAAAACTGTTTATTCATCCATTATTTTGCGTTCGTGTTTGGCTCGATGAAAAAATTCAAAATAATACGAGCAAATCTTTGATTGTATAATATTCACGTCTAGATTTACATCTTTTAACTATCAAATTATGGTGTATTAATTTTTTCCATTTTTCATAGAGGAATAAATAGGAAATATTAATAATTCTGATTTGTGTAATATAATTTAAATAATTTATAGCATCTATCTATAGTATCTTTTTAAATAGTGTAGACAAAATCTCGCATTGCGACATGACACATACACTAACCGATTATGCAATGGTCACAGATAGAGTAACAAACTGTCGAAATCGAAAATTACAACATATTACAACATAAAGTTTTAAACGAAATAAGCTGATTATTTTCTACACAAATTCCTCACAAAATTATTCGAAATATACAGGTCTTAAGCTAACTATGAGGTATCAATAATAGTCTTATACTTTTTTTTTAAAAAATTTCTTTCCGGGTATTATATTTATTTACAAAGACAAATTTTTCATAACAAAAATTGAAGTTATTTTCTTTTTATTTTTATCACGAAAAATTTGTTGTAACAAAAGTTAATCATAGAGGTATACATAAAGTGTATATATGTATTATGGACTTTTAATTCGTTTTCCAACTGTAACTTGCATAATCTACGATGTGGGTCAATGAGGATTGTCGAACTTGTCTCTTGAACCTGTGTGCCGATATGTCAGCAGAATAATTCTTTCATAATTGGACGCAGTCTGGGCAGTTCTGTGGCGTATCTATCGTGCGTCCCGACGATCATCGTTTATTGCTAATCGCGATTATTATCAAATCAGTTAGACCGATAGATACATAGTGACAAAAACAGTCGCGATACGAAAAAAAGAATTAAAAAATAGAAAAATACTGCGTGTGTATTTTATTTCATTTTTATGTTATCTATGCTTCTATTTTTTAATAATGTATTTTATTATTTATATAATTAAAATTATGCAATTATACACATATTTTTTATACAATAATATACAATATTTTTTTAAGATTTCCGGCTTTAATGAGGCTACATGTAAAGTACAGAGGACATATATAACTGGAGGACATATATAAATCTATTTTTCGAAAAAATAAAATGCTAAACATAACACGTGCGCTATGGCTACATCAACGATCTCGATAATAAAACATCGGGTCCATCCAGTAATACTTGGAGAAATCGTCGGTCCGAAAGATATATACTTCGAGGGCATTGCAGGTAATTTAAAGTGTTACTTAATCTTTAATATCTGGGATTTAAATTTGGAAAATTTTTTAAAAATTTTTTTTTGTAAATACCGATATAAGATAGAGACTTGCATTAAATGCTGACATATTTTACAATCATTATTTATTAATATTATAAATAATATAATTTGATGAAATGTTAACGATGTTTTTTATGTATATACTATAATATATACGATGTTCCACTTTCACTATATTATTTTTCAACGATAAATTCTTTAGTCAATTTGTGAAACTAATTTTTACAAAAATATCGAGGAGGGATTATCATGTACAACACACAACTTTTGTTTTTCACAAATCATATATCTTTTAACTGAACTTTAAATTCTATTAAATTATACATCTAGATTTTAAGTAAAAAAATATACGTTATTATATATTTAATTTGCAATCTTTTTTTAACATATTATAATTACATATTGAAAACGAGTAGTACGCCTTAACATTTAGATTATGATATTTAGATGCGAGGTGTAATCTCAAAAATAAATCAATTCGAGCGAAATGTGAAATTTATATTGCTCACAAAACAGAATCTGAAGTGATCGTTCCAAGAGTCAGAAACTTTCGATTGTGACTGAAAGAAGAAGGCACAGAAGCACAAAGTCGGTAGTGTAAACTGCGCACTCACCCCGCATCCCCACCGAGCTCGTTGTACACTGCAGTGCGTAACGAACGGGCGGTAAGAAGGGTGTAGCCGCATTTCTAAAGCTTGCAAAAAACAATAATTCAATAATATCGCTATTACACGTGAGATATATGCTAATGCTGAAGTGTCACTAAATTATATTTTATTTCAAAGACTTATTGCTAAAAATTTTATAAATTTTTAAAAGGATTAAAAATGAAAAATATAGCAGGACGACATAGATGAAAAATGAATCATTATAAAACAGTTTTAGGAATATAACAAGTGTAGATATATATAATAAGTGTAGGTATATAGTAATGGTTGAAATAACATTAACAGAATGTCAAAAGCTTATTGACTATGTTAACACATTAGTCTATGAGAAATACCATTCGCATCACGAAAAAACTTCCTTTAATAAATCTCGAATTTTTGTGTGAAATATTCGGCCAGTTTTAGAATTAAGATATATAAAGTGAAACGTGTCATATCAATCAGTTAATCAATGTTTCGTGTCATATCAATCAGTTAATCAATGATTCGTTAAAATTTGGCAATAAATTTGAAATTAAAATTTAAATGATTATATTTTTGAACGAAATATCGTTGCATGTATTAAAAAATAAAAAGATACATATAAATTTTATTTTATTGTTTTAACAATCTATTAAATAAAAATAATAAAATAAATTACACATCGAGAGATCAAATCATATAATAGTTACTTTTACTATACAAAAATCTAACACGAAGAAAAAATATAAAAAATTATATTAATTAAGTGTATTATTAGAAAAATATGAAGGTATTAATATCATGCGTTAATACATTAATTTACATACGTTGAGAAATTTGTTAAGATCTTAGAGCTGTGAAATGACGTGACCGCAGTTAAAAATCTCGAAGACGACGCGTGCTGCTTGCAATCACGAAATTAGCTTGTCGCTCCTCCGCGGTCACTATCAGACTGATAGTTCGAACGAGACGTGAGAGGATATTAATATTCGTGGTCGCGTATATACAAACGCGTATATGCGGTCGCATTGTACATGCATTGGGGGAGAATCTAAATCATCTGACACAGAGACACTGTTTATATAGAGCACAAGAAATAGATAATTGATTTTTCCCAGATTTATATCTTGAAAACGTATTAATAAGAAATTATCAGATAGTTCGAACAAAACATGATAAAAGAATTTTATTCGTATGTAGATTTGAAAGAAAAATGATCTTTAACATTATAATTTCAAATTCTGTTAGTTTGCATACTCTTTTGGAAAATTAATACATGAATAAACAATATTGTAATCATTTTAAATTTTTTAATTAACTTACTGATGTGATATTAACAAAATACGTAAATGTCTAATTACCAATTTTTTATAATGCAATATATAGTACATGCATTTTTTAATAATAAGATAATTTTAATAATAAATTTTAAGCACAATGACATATAAGTGTATTAATAATGACGAATATAAGAATTAATTATATAAATTATACATTTCTAAATACAATAAAATATAGAAATAATAAATATATACATTATGCTTTATTCAGTTTTATTGATATCAGAATTTCTTCTTTCGTACATATTATTTAAAACATGTATATTCATGATGCAATCATGTATTAATCGAGCCAAATAGTGTCGTATGAATATCTTTTTATCGCATTTTATTCCTATTTGTCACGTATTTCTAAATAAAATCACACAAACAAATAAATCAGAAGAAAAATATCGATAGATCTATACAATGAGTACTATGGATGTTTAGTCGCGTGGAGATCGCAATTAACGCAATAACGCAATAAAAGATAACAGATTGTATAATTTTTAGGGAATCCATTCTACGTCGTTGTTCTCCAATATTCTTCCATCATTTCTACTGTTAGTCACGCGACCATTCTGCTCTGTCGAACTTGCGCGATCCTCTTCCGTTCCAGTCAGCTTGTGATAAACCTGGCTTCCAGTTTGGGCAACCCACTGAACACCATCGCCAATCTTCTCTCCTGCTTTGCGCACTACATTGCCCAAATTTTCAGAAGTGAAAGTGTTGGGATCGATATTAATATCCACAGTATTGTTCCCGTGCGGACAACCAGATTGCGAAATGATGCTCAGATCAAACGGATCGACGCCAAAATGGCTCAGTCTTTGACGTATCTTGTCTACCTGCGATTGATCCAACGTCCGAGTCCTCGAGAGGATCGTAGCGCTCTGTCGATGAGCGAATGCCAGTTTCTGGCATGTGAATATGCCAGCATAAGTATCGTAGTCGGTCATAAATACCACATGGGACGCACTTCCGGCTACACCTAAATTGCAGAAATTTTAGTTACGCAATACGGAAGCCTGACTTGTAATTCGGATAAATACTATACTTAATGAAGAATACAGAACCGTTTTTCGCAAAATTCAAACTTAGCTATTTGTCATCAATTTATCTGATATCTTATAATAGATGGAGGAAAAGACTATAGCTTGCATTTTGAAAAGCATAACTAGCATTATACAGTATATAGAAATCATATATATTTACAGCGAATTTTTGCCGCATAATGAATTTCTATAAATTATTTATTATATAAATTATTTTATTTTTTATAAGGAATATGTAAAATGCTTTTTTTTGGATAATAAATTTAGATAATGTTAATTAATGTTAATTTTTTATTTAAAGCACTTACTAAGAGGAAAACGGACTTCCATGCGTCCTGCAGTACTGGGTTCCGGTACAGTCAGCTCACCAGTATAGTGATATTCATGCTTTAATGGTGTAAGACCTGCACATACGCATCACGCGTATTACGGATAATTCATCCCATTTGCTAGACATTTATCCCATTGACGGGCCTTTATAACTCTCGATAAGGCCCGATGACTTGTTCACAAAAGGTGACGTATCTCCTTTTTTCATCAATTGCATGTGATACACGCTTGTTAATTTTTAATTGTCTTACCTAGGATTAGATGATCAGAGTCTTGGGTTATTACATATTCGCCTGGCTCTTCTCCTCGCGTGTAGTTGTAAGTGATACACTTGCTACCTGTCGACGTTTTTTGGATGACATACCACAGACCTAAGAACTAAAATTTTAAACAAGCTGATTATTACTAAAATAAATTGATTGTCCTTTATTAAACATAATAAAAGATATAATAATTTGAAATATACGCGAAATAATTGAAAATTTTTTATTATCAGTTATATTATACACACACGCGCGCGCGCGCGCGCGTGTGTATACATATTTATTTATTTACTTATATAGCTTTATTTATTCCGCTTACTCTATTCATCTGAAAACCTTGCATAGGTTCCACAATGGGACAGGCGCCCATATGATACGAGTGAGCTTGAATAAAAGCGAAGCATCCCGCCAATATCAAGATCGAAGTCAAGTACTGCATCTTCTAAAAAAAAAGATAAAAGTCAATAAACAATAACATTAAGCAATTTAAATTCTCGTAAAAGATTAATACACAAATTGAATTTTCCCCAATGTAATATTTATATCAATAGATAAGCGTGTTTACGAATCATTAGTAACACTAGATTAAAATTTAGTCATTAAATCTGATTCATTATGATTAATTTACTTCAAATTTTCGAATCAACATACAAAAACACATGTGTTATTATAATGTAATTTAATGAAAAAAATTGTTTGAGATAAATATATATAATACGCAGTATTATATATATATATAATTACTCTAATTACTCTAATTACGATACTATCTATAAAATAATAAACAATACAGTTATATAAATTGGATATTATTTTCGATGTGATCACAGATTTCGACGGAAATGGTGATATAACACATTTTTTTTTACTATTCCAATGTAGCTTTCCGGTAGGATCTATAGATAAGCATACACTCAGTGTGAAGCGATCTTTGAACTCGCACTCAAACAGTCATGATCTTTCTTTTTTTTTTCTTTCTTCTCAGATTTCAAGTACAACTAGTGAAGCATGATTCACTCACCTTGGACACGCATCATCGAGCAAAGAAGAATTTCTGATTCTAAATAAACTATGTGCATATTTGGTTTTTTCTTCTATACTACGAGATGTGATGATAGATAAAAAGATAAATGTCCAATAATGATTAACGAATACATGATTACATTCGACCTGTGCGACCTTTCGTTCCACGTCACAAAGAATATTAATGCTCTCCATACGAATTCGATTAATATCTTTCCACTTGCTAACAGGACATTCTTTTGACAAATACTATTAGAATTTATTTCGCGAAAGAAAAACTAATACATATTTTTGATTAATATTTTCTCGAGATTCGATTACATCATACGGAAAGTGTAAGCAATGTTTGTTACCCGAACATGCAACTTTATACATATTTGAGCGAAAGGGAAGATCTTTTTAAAGTAAGCGAAATTTAAATAAAACAATATCGGTTGTTGTGGTGCCTACAGGTGAAAAATAAGATCAATTTATTAAAGGAGAAAATATTGGAGCTATAAGCTCTCTTAAAAATGTACTCACTGTAGGAATTGCTGCTGCCGGTCTCTCTGCGTTCACTCACTATAAACACAAGTCTCAATGGAGGGATAGACTTTATGTGACTCGTGCCCCACTCTCGAACCAATTACGGGTCACGCACACATTTATTGAGACATATAATACTGACGATGGAGATACGTATAATGTATCACTGTTCTCTATGAATCACAAATCAGTTAATTCCAATTAATTTTTCTGTTTTTTTTTTAAGATAATCCCACTATTATATATTGACACAGCAAATATATACGTAATCTCTAAAAAATTCGGAGTAACCATAATTATCATTAATGTTACTCTCAGTTATATCAATGAGGACAATGACGCATCCACATACACAAAAGCACATATTAAATGATTTCTGAGAATTAATAATTCCCTGTTTATGAGATACATGACGCTTTTCCTATCTTTCTCATAAATTTATACTATAAATGATAATGTAAAATAAAATATAATTTTTACAATTACTTTTGTTAAAGTTAAAAAGTTATAAATTGTAGTAAAATATGATTTATTTATAAAGTAGAAAATTTACATTTGCAATTAATGCTAACGCTCTATATATAAATTTTCGGGCACATAATGTAGTAAATTCAAGTTAAAAATTATTAATCTCGTCTTATATTAGCAATGGATTTACATAACACAGATTTACAAATTTACTATATGAGTATTTATCAGAAGGCACAAAGATGCACATATTTCACAGTTATAATATACACAATAGAAAGGGTTAATTTTAAAAATCCATTGCTCTATAAAATAATGCTTATAAAAGATTTGATATCATATATAAATTATGCAGCAAAAGTGATAATATAATAGCAAATTAAACAAAATGTAATATTTAATATTCATAAAACACAAATTGATAAAACACTGATTAAACACAAAAAAATATATAGAATTCGCATTATTAAATGCAAATCGTGAATTCTGCATAAAACTTACTTAAATATAACATAAAAAATACTCTATTGTAATATTTTAATAATTTATAGAATTTATGTAATATGGAATATATCAAGTTTAACCATTAAAAGCTATAAACTTATTTTTAGAACATATAGAATGGTTTCTAGTAGAAAGTAGAAACATAAACTTCCAAATAGAAATGATCAAAAGAGAAAATGAGAAAGAGAAAGAAAAAGACATTTACTCAAATAAATTAACTTTTAGTACACCTTAAAAGACACTCTTCATGTAGTCACACGATTAAAAATGTAAATAATTGTACACATGTGTTAATTGTAAATGTATGCAAGTGTAAATAACAGTTCTGTTTTTTTTTTATAGCCGGTTTTTCCATGTTATGCATTGGGTAGTTTGTTCTTATCTAAATCATCGAAATAGGCATGATTTAATGTTGCTCGTGCGGATATTCTGTACACAGGATCGTATGTGAGCATAGCTTGCAACAGATCGAGCCCATTTGCATCCAATGTGTTCACTTGCAACTCCAAATTATTTGTCATCCAGTTTGGAAATGTCGCTTTGTAATCAGACAACTGTGTAACACCTGGCCATATTTCTTCTGTAGGTGTTCTTAATATTCTAAAAACAATTGTATAAAATTAAAAGTATAATATAACAATGATAACATGTACAAATCTTACCGGAATATTCTAAAGAGCTGATCAATCTCACTATCTCCCTGAAACAATGGCTTTTTGGTTGCCATCTCTGCAAAAATACATCCAATGCTCCACATATCAATAGCACATGAATATCTAGTAGCACCCAGAAGAATTTCAGGTGCCCTGTACCACAGAGTTACAACTTCATGAGTATATATTCTAACTGGGATTCCAAAGGCCCTTCCTAAACCAAAATCAGCTACTTTGATAATTCCACTTTTGTCAATTAGTAAATTCTGTGGCTTCAAGTCACGATGTAATATTCTACGCTTGTGACAAAACAGAATTGCACGTGTGATCTAAAATGATGGACAATCGTCTTAATATTAAAACTATTGATAAAATTTTCAAATATTTTCCAACTAATCTAATAAAATTTGTACACACACATATATGCATAACATTATTATGAAATAATATATATAACATGTTTCTATATTAAACAAACCTGGAATAAATATGATTTAACTACAGTTGGTTCTAATTGTTTATTGCCTAAACTATCCATGTATTTTTTCAGATCCATAGTAAGATACTCAAAAATAAGATACAGTCTTGATTCTTCCATTAATACATCAATTAAGCTCACAATATTTGGATGAGTTAATTCCTTGAGCAATGAAATTTCTCTAATAGCAGTTGACGGTATTCCTTCATCATCACTTTCCAAACGAATCTTTTTCATGGCTACAATTTCTCCAGTCTTCTTGTGTTTTCCTTTATATACTACTCCGTAAGTACCTAAGAAATGGTAAAAATTTGGAAATATACGTATGTATATGTTTATGTTAGCAAAACATCTTAGAAATCAAGGTAACTTATTTATAAAGTTGATTGTAATTTTATGGAAAAAGTAGCTAACAATTAATTAATATATATTGCACTATATTTTTTTTTAACAAAAGTATAACTTTGATTATATATAAATATTTAGATATAACACATGTAAGCATACAAGTTTATACACTAATTCTCTAATATATCACAGAAACAAAGGATGTGAGATTGTTATTTATTACAGATAATGCAGCCAAATTGCTGCCAAAAAGAGATCGGTAAATATTTATTCCCACTGATGCACAATACACGATACAATAAATTAGTCCTTCCATAACTCCAGAAGCTCACCTTCTCCGATTTTCTCTATTTTAATATAATTATCCATTATGCTTTGTATCTTTCTTTAAAGGAACGCTAATTGAACACCATATAACGGCTAATCGCGAAGTCTCTCTTAAGATTTGACGAAACCAGTCCTCGTGTCATACAAACTTCTCAAAGCATCGCCAATAAGCTAACGAACAAATTCAAATCAAACGTTGGCACGCCATCTTGATAAACACGATTCACATGTACGTTTTGCCGCGTATAAACCGTTAGATGCTCCGACTTGCTGTGTACTTCCGCTTTACAAGCGCACTCTCGCTACGCCATTATGTAAGAGCTTGTTTACGCGCGTATATTCAAAGCATAAACTTATACTCCTAAATTATTCTCTTTTACGGGAAATTTAAAAATAAAAATGAAAGGGAGTTATAGCTATAATTTCTTTCCACCATCCACAAGCGTATTATCTTACCATTATCATATCATTCTATCTTTATTTTGTAAATTTCTAAGTAGGCATCAAATTAATTACCCATACAGAAAATAGTTATTTTATACATATAAATTTACATATAAAACAAGTATTAATTGAACGTTGTTTCATAATTAAAAATAAAAGAAAATTTTATTTTTTAGATAATCTTAATAAATTTATTTGCAATGTTATAACGCGCAAGTACATAATTTCATTGTATTCGTCCATAATGAACTCTGAAGCCGAGTTAGAGCAACTTACTATCCACGGCTTGAAGGAAAGACTCGGAATCAAAAAGATTTGATTTGGTAAAATCTGTCGAACATAACTATATTTCGTATATCTTTCTATCTATATTAAATGTAATTAAACAATGAGGATGTAAAGTTTCAGTGCACTTTATCGTGGAAATTGATAGCCACCAGTAGCGTAACCGAGCCCTACGCCACGTTGTGTATGTGTAGTAGCTCGTGCTACTTCGTATTGTTGCTCCATATTATTGAACATTTCCTCCTGCTTCTTCAGAATATCCGGTTTGGCTCCTACCGTAGGTGCGCTAGGTAAATCACCTTTAATACCCATCAGTCGTTTGAATTTGGCAGACACCTTCCCATCCTGATCGTGTGTGAAGGTTGTGCCCATCCAAGTATTGGCGGTGGCACCTGCGCTCGATGCACTTTTACCATCATCTTGTTTTGACTACAAAAAAAGGGTATTGTAGAATGAGATTATATATTGATTATATATGCTGCTTAACAATGTCGTTACCGCTATTGATAATCGTCACCTTGTTAGCCCATAATAACTTCCTCTTCTGAATTTGTTCCGCATATTTGCCCTGCGTCGCTGTCGCCAACGGATTATAATAATTCTGCTCGCTCTGCATACCGGATGTCACCAGGTCACCGCCACCTTCTAGCGGTTTCAGTTCTATGCCCAGCTTCTCCAATTGGGCCAGTTTGTTCCGTCCCTTCTCCTCTCGGTAACTCATCATTCTGAACGGTGGCGGTGGAGCGCGATCCCTCGATCGCGACCTGGATCGCGTGCGATCCTTTTCCTTGTGATAGTTGGAACGCTCGTCTCGGTGTCTATCCTTTGATCGATCGTCCCTGGAGTGTCGCCGATCCCGTTCTCGGTCGCTGCGATCTCTACGCCTATCCCTTTCATTCCTGTCGCGATTACGATCTCTTCGATCGTCCCCCCTATAATGATGATCCTTGTCGCTTCTCTCTCGATCGTCACTTTTCTCGTCCTTGGATGAGGAAGTTTTACGTTTGTCGTCATCTCGACTTTTACGATCCCTACTTCGATCTCTACTACTATTACTGTCACGTTGCCTTCGATCATCATAACGGCGACTTTTATCGGATGTATGACGACTCCGATCGCTGCGGTCCCCTCGCCTATAGTCGTCTTTTGAACTCGTATGATTTTCATGATCGGCTCGCCTGTAAAATGATTACGTTCTGCAGGGGTATACCACACAGATGCGTATTATTATTCTGTACACGACAGGTATATAAATTTAGTAAGTCATACTAAATTATTGCTTTTATAGAAAATTTTATCTATAGCTATATATAAAGTATCATTAAAGCACATTTGCGTTACATGTATATAATTAGCAAACCAGCCTACCTCTGGTCTGAAGGAGAAGACAAGGCCCGAGACGATTCCGTTCTCGAGCCAAAAGTAGACTGCGCCACTGAAGGACTGTTTGCGCGTTCGCTACTAGATTCTCTGGATAAATTGTTGTTGTTGCTCTCCTAGAGAAGAAAAATTATCAACTTTAATATATAAATCTCTTACATATAATTTACTAAGTAAGAAGTAGTTCTTAATTACTAACGCAAAAGTTATTTTAAGATATGCTTTAAGATATGCTTTAAGATATGTAATTTTAATACACGCAAAGTTGGACATTGACAGTAAATAATATATATTGTAGAGAAACTTATAAAATATGTATATTTTGGAAACAAGGAGAGAAAGTACTCTTATTCTGGATACAAGTGAAAAACTTAAAAAATTTTTGTCTATAAAAAGTTTACAAATTCAACTTTCTCGCATCCTTGGTTGTACTTGATACAAAAGTTGCACATAAATATCCGTGTATCGCTACATTTGATAAAAAATAATGTATATATGATATGTATGTTAATTACCGGTAGATAGGTAAAATGGAATCAATGTATGAAACAACAATGTCACAAAAAAGAGAGAGGAATATGAGGGCCCTTCACATCAATCTGCCTCTGCAGTTAGTTATCACCCGAGTATACTTGTACATGTGGTTTCTTTGATGGTTGATGTTTTGTTAGTGTTACCTTCTTCCAGCTTCCTCTACTCACCTCTGTCTTCCGAATAGGACTTGGGGTAGTCTTGAAAGACCCTCACACAGCATAGACCTTGCCGAGATGCGTAGATATTGTATCATGTATTACCAACAGAGCTACGTGTTAATATTGTCTCACGAAGTGGCACTATTCCCATTTACTTATCATTTAAATTTTAATTATGTCAATGATAGAGCCTGATTATCCTGCGTTTGGTAAGGTTCCAAGGTCCTGTCTTATTTATATTTAGATTTTAAATAGATTAAGAAAGCACGTTAACTTTTTACTCAATTATGATAAACATCACTTGTATCAAATTATAATTTGATTAAAAATATTGCCAATACAGATAGTGCTTCTGCACAAATAATATTTGTTTATTATAAACATTGATCGATAACTTGACATGACCTTGCAAAACCAGATACTAGCCCCCTTATATATTACGCCTAAGACTTTGCATGTACATACAGTACCCAAGTAAGGTCACTGCGGTATCTTCTTAGGCATTGCCCAAGTGTTTCACAACTTAATAACTAAAAATCAAGGATTACAGGGTGCGTGCTTTCACTGTACCTCACTCATGTCCATTTGTACCGGGTCGTAATTGGCATCGCTAGCCCTCCTATTTGCCTCTTCCTGTCCCCGATTTGGCATCTAGAGAAATAAAATCAATTATCTCGGGTTTGAATGAATATTTAGACTTGAATTTGAACAGTTGAAATCGCAGTCTACTGATATTGCAAAAAGGATCGAGCGCAACTTTTGTAATATGTGCATTTTCATGAAAGTGCGAAATTTATAAAGTCTTTCAGTTGTTTGCGGAATAACGTTCGTTAGATACGCATAGAGGAGCCATGTCGAGCGATATACATTGCGATTCAAGGCGTCCTAAACGACAACGACGACGATCTAATCTTCGATCATCCGGTGCGTATCCTCGCGATTCCTCACCTTCACGTCGTCCGAATTGTTACTGTTGTCGCCGTCGCTAGCGTAATTCGCCAAGGAATCCATAATGGCGTATAAACAGCGCAATCGTTCGCTAAATCGCTGACTTCTCGGGAGTGAGTATCGTGTCGTGCCGTGGCTGTGTCGTGTCGTTCGCTAGCGCTATCATGCGTGGCGCGCCGATCCCTTGGTTGGTCTCGCGCACGCTCCTGCCATTGGTGGAACGAGTTGCTGTGAATAGTTCGAATATCGGATATCTTGGCTGGTGCATCGCGCATCGTGCAATTAACGAAATGTTCCTTTTGTATGCTCCTTCAAAGTTTCCGCCTTCTTCCCTCGCTCTTCGATTCCGGAGGATGCATTTACTCGATCTCGATGAGAGAGGAAAGGTAATTTCCTTCTTTATTTTCGATTCTCAAACGTTTTTCAGAGAGCACGATTTCCTTTATACGATGCACTTGTTCGTGTTTCCCCGAATCCGTTTTTAACGAGCAGAAGTTGGGTGAGGAAAGTAAAATTTATTAAAATGTTTGTGCCACCAAGAGAGAAGAAAAATCTTCATTATTTTATCGATATTTATATAGAATAATTCTTGATAGTTTGAGCTCTCTCTTATGACGGAAAAATGTTTTTGCTTGAAAAAAATTTTTTTATGTCAACACACGAGTGATTTTAATAATTTACAGATTCTAACACAAAAATAATTTCAAAAGTTTGGTATTTCATTCTTTATCCCTGTTCATGCATCTTATCTATTTCCGACCATCTCTCTCTACATGTTGATATGCTTCCATCTAATTATTAATTCAACTATAATTTCCCTTGCACAGTATATTCACAAGTGTATCTCGGATTCTCATCGTATTGTATATAAGTATGCTGAAGAGGTTAACGAGTACTCCCCTCACGCAAGGAAAACCCGATCGACGATATAAAAATTATACTTCTTCTGTCGTCGAGTAACCATATATACAACGTGCATATCTTACACTTCCTCGTCACTGACAATTTTTGTCATTATAACATGTAATTTAGGATCAAGAAGAAAATAGAAGAGAAGAAATTGGTGAAAGAAAGAGGTTAATAAATAAATATATATAATTTACACACAAACTGCAAACGGATGATATGTATTGTCTCTTGTATAAAAAGTATTATTAATGATAGGGTAGATTAATTTATAATCTTTTCCGTATCTTTTATGTGTGTTTATTATTTATATATTATTTAATTATTAAATTATATTAATTATATTAATTATTTATTTTTATCGGGAAAATCTTCGTTTCCTGATCGATATTAAGACGCGATTCTAAAAATTAGCATTCTAAGTACTTGATTAATATTGCAAGAAAGAAAATCATTAATTAGATCGTAAATAACTCAATATTGCAACCTATAAAAAAAATAATTAATTAGATCGTAATTGATCGACATGTAGTATTCTAGGAAGAAATGTCTCTGACTCTTGAATGAAATTTCAGGATATCCTATTAAATTACGACGGCATCTGAACTGCAAGTCGCATCATAAATGAAGAAGGATGACTATGTGCGCGATCGAGCGTCTACGGGAGGCTCTACTGGACTTAATACACGGGGTGCCCGATGCAACAGAGCATCCGGCTTCAGAGGTGCTCGAACCCGAGAGCGACCCGCGCCGTCTCAATCTTCGCGGTGCACGAAAGGTGCGAGAAGACGGAGAGATGGGAGCATACACGTTTACCCCGCGTAAGTAAGTACATACGTACATACGTACGTACGTATGTACGTAGCGTCTCGCATTGACGTTTACGCGCGAAGAAGCGCGGGGCCAGCGAGCCGAGCGGAGCCGAGCCGGCGACGTGACGCGCGTCGTCGAGCTGCGCGTCGTCGCGCGGGGCGAATCACCGGGACGCAACAGTCGCTCGCCGGACTTCGTGCTGGAATGAGGTGGTCGCGGGATGCGTGTCGCGATACCCAACGCTTGCGTCCACTGACACGATCTCTCGCGATTATCCGCCGTGATATCTCGTTCCCGCGTGTTCCCCTTTCGAGGATCGACGTCTGTTTTCCCAGCGAGTACGCACACCGAGTAGCCATCAGTTACACCGACGTACCATCGCGCACTTCCGGATCGTAAGTATACGTTCAATCATCGTACTTCGTCATTGGATTTCGCGAGGGATGCGATCGCGCGCACACCTCCCGGGTTGCATCTCTGACCTCGAGAGGGTTGGTTGCACTGTGCAATGTAGGTTACCGTTACATCCGACTTGCTATGAGGCTTTTGCCCATGTAATAGCATTAGCGTCGTCCCTTAAAAAAACTTGATTAAAGTGTATTTCATGAGAAAATCAAGGTGGTTAATCGACGCAATCGGTGTAACTGATGGCTCGTATAATATGGATTAGCGCTATCCCGCGATTAAGCAATCTTCCTTCTCTATTTATGGTATAAGTATAACTGTGAATTGTGAGAATGAGAGCAATATTGTCGATCGCAATTGGTTAACCAGTGTGCGACTAATCTAAAGGGCCGGTCGCAGTAATGTAAGTTAATGTTAATTCTATTTACAATGTTTCTAGTGACGGATTTTCCTTTAGACGCGTATCTATTGTTAGAGCCTTGATGTTTAGAAGCTTTTATCAATCTTCTTTTCCATATTTTATTATTATCGAATGATCTATAAAGCGCCGTTGTGTGATTACTGATTACAATGATAATTAATGATAGCTTATATCATCGATGCGATTCGAAAGCTGCACAAATTATCGTTTCACTTAATCACATAAAGTTTTAACGAAAAATTTCAATTTACGAAATCCTTTCAAAATTCCATCTATTTTTATAATTTTATTTTATCGACTAATTTTTTTTACAATTAAATGCCTCCTCCGTGAAAGAGAAACATCTCTTTAAAATCCGTTTGATATAAAATTTCGTACGTTGACATTTAGGATTAATTTGCCGTAGGGAAATCGGAATTTCGAAAAGTCAACGCTCCCGTTAATGGAATCTCTCGCAACTTCGTTAACGAGAATCACCAAGTAGCTGATTCCCTCTAAGGTAAACGATACTCTCGAACACGAAGCTTAGATGCGATGAAAATGTGAAATATTGTAACGAGGTAACGTTCGTCGCACCGTCGACACTTCCCTTTCATTCCATTCTCGAATCTACTCGAGTGACCCGCTTTTTGACTCAAATCCCAGCCAATTGTTTTCAACGGATCACGTCCTCTTTATACGGGTAGCTTCGACCCGTTCATCCTCCCACGATTTCCAGAATCTCGACCGTGTTAATGAAGTCTTCGACTGCGAAATTCGAGCGATTCCCTCTTCGATTGGTCACGATAATCCACTTTTCGATCACTCGAAACTGTATTAAATCAAAGACTTGTATATATGCGGTTTTTCTGCCAGTTGATACCGGCAAGATCGACCGAAAGAACGTCATCGAATAATCCAAGGTCCACATGTCAATTTAATCAGCTCGTAATACGTTAGATATTAAAGCTATATGGTATGCGATCACTGTGTCTTCATCAGCAATATTGACACATTTAATTTTAATATCGTGTCAGCATGAAAACACTCGTTTTAACGAATCGAGTTTCTCAAAGCTTTATCGAGATCATTCGAAACTTTTTATTAATTTCAGATGTTGAAGGATATAATTTTGCTCCCATAGATTGTTTATTATCTTTCGTTGTGCGAAAAGCAATCTAACTTTTGAGCGAGTCTGTCGGCGGGTAAATATCGACGAAAAACTTCTAGTAAACAGTTCCGTAGACATCGTAGACCATCCACAATTTCTTTCCTCTACTAATCCATTATGACCCGTAATGCATCGTTGCATCACTATACGCACGTTAATCGTTAATAATTTTCCTCACCCGGTCGACGAGCGAATTCCTGCTCTTCTAAATCGTTCCCAGACAAATTGTCTTATCTTTCTGTCCAGAAATGCTATTCTTGCAAGTAGTAAGACTATTATTCGTGTAGCAACTTTCTGGTAAATTTAATGTGAAATCAATTCGCCGAACGAATCTTTTCACACCAAATATATAGGATAAACGTGCCGTAACTCTTGCTGAAATAGAGTGTCGTATAGGTATTAGATAGTTCTTGGAAGCAAAGGCTTAGAATCATTCGTTTCAATCATATTTGATGGTGCGATATGAGAATATTATGGATTACGGAGAAATGATGCTCGAGTTTATATCGATCCGCGAGCAGGTACCATCCAAGACTTCCCATCGACGAAAGAGTTTCATGGGACATTTTACAGGATCATTAACATTTTCCTTGAAAATAATCGAGGGAGTAATGCGTGACACGTTCATTGGCAAGATAAGGAGAAACCATTCTATATATTTTTTTTTTAGACTCTTGATAAGTTTCTGCCCACGATATTTTTATTAAGGCTACTGCTTATCTCTTTTTTTCAAAACTAAAAATCATAATTCTTGCGAAATAGCGTGCGAGTGTCGCGCGTAATATCGATTACGTTGATTCGAATGCCGATTATTCCTGAAAACAGTCTCCGATCGAGTCGACCCATGACGCGAATACCATTGCGAACCAGTTCGTAGGACTTCTATGCGCCGCCTCCTTATCACGCAAGATCTTCTCGCTCTAATACATACGCACGCAGGACGGTGTTGCATTGTACAATACACACGGTGTGCTATTATATCGCGAGCGGGCAGGAGTAAACGTAACGCTTGTGTCATTCCGCGCGTAACGCGTGCGTTCGCCTCGCGACCTGAGCACTCGTCTAAGGACAGCTGCACTTACGCCAGATAAATTAACCACAATTTAAAGAGTCTATATTTAAACAAAAACATATGAGCGACATAATGTTTCTTAATAATACATTTAACATTTATGTTGAATATATTGCCGCCTTTTAATTAATTTAATTAAAAAAATTTTTTTAAATATATAGAAAATAAATATTACTATTAATTATTATCTATAATTATCATATTTATGTTTATATAAAAAAATAAGTTATACCCATAAATTGTAAAATTCAAATTCTTTATATATGAAATCATGCTGAAATGAATTTTACAAATTACTTTATTCTTGTATTGAACCGATCAAATTGACTTTTCGTTAATATCTCTATTAAAGAACTTTACAGTAAACACGCGCACTGATGTTATACTACTCTTATCATGAAATCGTAAATGGACATTGTACATTCTTGTTACACAGGTTCTTCGTTTCCTTGAAGCATCCTCTTTCTATCAGGCGTTCTTCCGTCTTTCGATTCGCTTTGCTCTCTCTCTCATCCTCTCTTTCTCTCTCCGGCTGTTCATCCTTTTATCCTTCTTCTCTCGCTCTCCGACACACCGTCGCGATTCCGTTATGCGCGGTAAATACATGCCGGGCATCCTCTGTGCGTTTTACCTTCGGAGAAAATAAACAGTGTCCAGCGTGTGCGCGGCATCGACCGTGCGTTATTGACACCGTATATGCGATCGGGCTACAAAGAGAAATGACGAGGCGAAAAATCGAGCTCATATTTTTCTAGACTACAAAACTAGCAATTTTTTTTACATTTCCCGTGATTAAAGTGATATAGCGGTATAGCTGTCCGGAGTAATTGATCAACAATTGACCATAATTGATCAATATTGAACTGTCATTGAATTATAAATTAATCATAATGGTATAATTTTGCAAACTACCTTTATAGATAAAAAGAAAATTAATATTATAAGTAATAATTTCTTTATCAGATATTTTCATTCTTTTATACAAAGGTTTCGTAATTATGTTTGTTATCTTTTATAGGTGCGATATTATTTCTCTGTAGAGATTCAAAAGAAAGAATCTGTGATGCATATCATACACACAAATATGTTTGAATCTCTAAATGGTTCCATCGGTTCTCCATACCAGACTTCCGGAGAACGTCTTTGTGTATACCAAAGTTCACAATATCAGTAGCGACGATCTCGTCTTACGTTGGCATTGCTATTGTGCCGAGGAACTTTGTTGCCACAAACCAATGCGAAATCGGTTGTATTGGAAAAGTACCATCATCTCTATATCGATCTCACATACGCTATTCCATGAAGAAATATTGAACAAGAAACTTTCGATTGTGTCAACACGATACCAATGTCCGTAAATTTATGTAAGAATACAAAATGCGAGTGTGTCGAGACCAACGGAATGCTGAAAACGATTTGCTGTATTGTTTTGCACAACTGCGAGTAAGTGCATAACAACGTTATCGGCGAAAGTTTCCGACTGTAAGATAATTTCCTCTTTGTATGCGCTAAAAACTTTTGCCGCAATCGATCAGAGTAAGAAAAATAATGCTTATATTTGCATGGGGATGCCCGACTTTCACAGCTATACCTCCTATCATTTCATATTAATGCATTCTTTCCTCACTTAATTTACGTACTTAAAATTGATTTCATATATTTATCATTTAATTTATTCTTTAAAAAAAGAACTTTAACAGATACCTCAACAGGTCACAAACGCGAGGAACTCGTCATCGAATTGTACGAGCGGAATTACGCCATAGAATCGGGCGATTATTCAGCGCATCGTATTTACCATTTCTATAGAGGTATGCTGGGAAAGCAAGTTCCCCGTCGCGCAATTTCTCTCGAAGCACCATCATCCGAAGGGTGCAGCCCCATGAGTAAGTGTGAGAAGGGGGAGATGGGGCGGAATTAGGTGCTTGGTCGTGCAACGGCTTGAATGAATAATTCTCATCGATCGTAAAATCTGTCCCTGCATGTGTCTCACGTCTCACACCACTGCTTCTCTATTGAATCGCTGTTTCGTTAGCAGGGATGCAGGTCCATTTTTAGACGATGTTTAGGGTCCGCGCTGAAACATAGACAATCTACATCTACGTGAAAAGCGCGTGATAAATCGTGGAATGAATGATAGCCGTCTTCGGATAAAAATAGCTCTCGTTTACCTATGGACTATGTATTTATCCATTCACGTGCGAGACGTACGCATAATCTCTGTCTATATACAATAATTTTCTCTATCTCTTTTCTTTTATTTCCAAAGGATATTTAAAAAAAGAAGGTATTTTTATATATAAAAAAATAAATATAATTTATGTAATTATTTTTATTTTTCAATTTTTTTACGAAAAATACATAATCTGTAATGTTTAAAATTACAGAGTTTTTATTTTAAAAAATTGAATATAATTTATAATACGATTTTCATTTCTTGTTTTTTCTCGAACAAATTGCAGGCAAACTTGTTTTCATCTTGAAATTAGACTTGACTTAATCAGAAAGAAAGATAGTCGAACGACCTAGCGTCATCGCCTGGTATAAACGTGACCCTGAAGCATACGGCTAGCCGATCTGTATTCTGGTTGTCAACGTTACGACACGCGGGCTTCAACAACGGTTACCACGATGTGTGTCGGCGATGTTTTTCAAGGACGATGCGGGTAACAATATATAAACGGAAAGGAACCGTTTCGTTACTATAATACCAGCTTTTATTATCTTTTTAAAGAAGTTTGTACACATTTCTAAAAAAACTTTTTATATTTGCTCCATGTCTGTTGTACGCCCGCGCGCACAAAATTACAATCTCATTTCTATCGAAAGATATTAAAGTTCAGAGCTCGATTGTGACTTCTCATCTCTTTTCAGACAAGGATCTACCCCATTTTTCCGTGGGTTTCTGTTACATTGTAACGTATTCTCATGTGTACCTTTCTACTCAAACACACACATGTACGCACACGTCATCACAAATATGTGCTTCATTCGCGGCGCTAATATGAGAGTTTTCCATTATCGACTCCTAAGGAAAAAGCGGTCATTTTATCTTCTCTTCCGCGCTCCGCCCGAAAAGTGCCATGTCTATCGTCGAGCGGAAGGTAGAAGGCCTAGATATGCTTCGTAAAATGTAATAAAGAAGTAAAAACTGCGGTGTCATTTAATTATCTTAATGTTCGTAATTATCACGCTGTATCAACGTCGCAATGTCACAACTCACGATTCAACAGAACAATCTCTCTTCCGCGCAAAATTCCGTGAAAAGGGTCATCACCATCGTCGTTGGACCGGTGAATTCACATGGGCCAATAACTTCTTCCTCCTCTATGATTTCATTAACCCAATTTCACGAGTCGCACACGTTAGACTAATCTATGAGCGGAAGGTCGTACGCGCGTGATGACGGCATTCCGTGTAATAAGGATACATAATAATCATGTGGAAACACGCATTGCCTATCGTGTCCTGAGAATGCGTGCGACTTTGATGAGTATTAAATATCAAGTATATAGTAAACGATATTATGATAGGGTACAGGAAGTAACGATAGAAGATTATCTTGGGAGAAAAGACTCGTTCACTTTTATCTTAAGATCTTGAATAACAAAGATCAATGTATTACATCGACTATATATCTTGCTATACTCTAAAATAACTACGCACTAAGCTAGCTTGTATTGTAACTTTAAAAAGCTTTAAAAATTTGAATTCTTTTCTAATAGATATATTTCGTTTCATTCAAAAATGTATATACTTATGATATTGATTATATATTTATAAGATATCTGTTGCATATTATGTATAAGATATCTTTTGCATATTATGTATACTTCAAGATGTTGTTGAACAGTGTTTACAGCGCGCCAATTTTCCACTTTATTTAATCACAAAATACATGCGCACAATTGAACCACCTGGGTTGTAATAAAACAGTCTATTTTTAGAGAATCGAAGCATGCCCGATCTTGTATGTACATGCAAACTGCATGCTTTTGGAAAGATTTAATCGCTGTTCGGGCTTCTCACGCTACTTAGAGGCAACTCTTGTGTTTTCACCTGTGAATGTTTCGTGATTTTTTTTACGCTGCGAAGTAAAACGCTCCATTATCGGAATCAAGAAAATGAGGAGGAATGATTGCGAGAATATCTATTCATTGTTCAGACTCTTATAAGAATAGATAATAGCTCTCTGAAAAGAGGGTGCTCTTTTTCTTGAAAGAGGAGTAAAAAAATCTTTCACTTTCCATCAGAGGAAAGTAGTCTTTGATTTGACCATTTGAGAGACTCTGGAGAACCTGTCTGTTCAAATTACGTCCACCCACGTCCAATTCATAGAATAAGAAGCGAATTGCCAGCTTTTATTATTGACATCCCATCAAGATCTGATAGACGCGTACTTTTATAAATATAAAATGATGGAACTAAATACAAAATGTATGAAGGAAAAACCAAGAAGAATTCAACTCTGAGAAGAAGTGAAAGATGATTTACTTCTTATGTATTGGGTCAGCGTTTTCAGGAAACAATTAGAATTTCTATTATAGTCGGTAAGAATTATAACTTTTTACGATGCATATGACAAGCGTATAAGAATTATTTTATATATAATATATTTTAATATTCAACTTTATTGGTATGTTAGGGTCATAGAGATTTAAAGAATATTTGTTGGCTCATGACTACATATTAACGGAGTTGGATATTGACGTAATCGGAGACCTGTTCTCGATGACGTAACGAGCCGTCTTGCGGAGGACATCTAGATGTGCACTGTGAAGAAAGAAAAAACTTATTCACCCAAAACTAACGTGTTACATCCACATAGAATATCGCAGGTATACCGGATGTTCGTTTCCTCTTAGCCTCGGATAGCTCTTGCTTTGCAAATTTAGGATTTTAAAATTTAGAATTTAATAATACAACATATAAAAAAGTAGTATTATAAAAATAATTTATTAACTATATCATCTTTTAGCTTACATATTGTAGCTTTATTATTATGGAAATTTATTATTATAAAATTTCTCAGAATTGTAGAATATGTTTATTTTGTATAAACAAAAAAAATTAAGTAGGATAAGAGACATTAAACGCGTATTCTATTATCGTAGACTATAACTTCCGTCTCATCGGAGCGCCGGATCGAATAAAGCTAAATTAGATGAATCTCGCCTAGTTAAAAAGCGTTCACACGTCTATTTATAATCGGCGATCATAATACGTATGGAAAATGCGCGGGAATTTTGGTGCTTGTAGTTTCTTGACTAAAAAATCATTTCGTGAATTGTGCTGAAAATCAAAAGTGTTTCATGTTGATACGAAATGAATGAAATTTAATATCACCATTCGATGAGATTAGATCAAATAATCGATATACTGATGGTAAATATTGACGCGAACTTCTCGGAAGAAGTTTAATATATTTCATGAGCTTGAAATCTCTCTCATTGTTACATTTTATGACTTATTTGTAGAAATGGGCACGAATTTTCATGTCGGAATCACGTTTATGAGCGACAAGCACGATAGCCGCTTCTTTAAAGCGTGCAGAAACATTTGAGGCTTCCGTAACCTGTCGTTAACCTACTTAGGACTGTTCCAGTACGCACTGTTTTAACTTGTTTTATAGTCATTCCAAGATCGGCGAACTGATTCCCTAGATTAGAACGCAAAATTTATGTCGTAATTGTGATCAATTGCATTCATAACTTGCGAGCAAAGAATGTTGCCATCATTTGTACAAATGTCAAAACTTGCTACGATTAAGTTTTTTTTTCTTTGCAGAACTTAAAATAAGCAAATATGAAATCGATTAGTGCGTATGTATATAATAAAATATAATAACTGCGTCAATATTCATGGTTTTTAAACAACACCGATAGATTTTCATCGGTATAAAAAGTCAGCATAGTGATTCTAAACTTGGATTTGCAATGTAAGGAGATTCTCTCTAACAAGACCAAAGGTCTCTTTCTTCGGTGAAAATTCGCACACGTTACTTTACTCTTTCATGGTTGCTGACCATGCCAAATTTGCGGAACGGAAGATGCTGATCGACTAAATGAAGAAGATGCGGACATTTAATTACGGTCGGCGTAGGAGGAGAGACACGCGCTGAAAGAAATGGCGAGATAGCTGAGCTATGTAACTAACTATATCTCTTATATGAAACGACGACAATTACGACGACGACGTAATCAATCCGGAACGACACAGGGGGATATACGAAGATAAATCATGCCTGCTGAGCGACCGTTCAACTGTGCGTTCCCCTTTTCGCAGTTCCTCTTACCATATGTACGATCGTTGAATGAAGAGTGATACGTAAGAGTGAAAAATAAGAAGAAAATCTTCTCGAAATATAGAAATATTCAACGAACGCAAAATTAAAAATAGATCTTTTTATTTTTATCGTTTAAAGTATTAAGTAATATCTTAATGGTATTAATTAATTAATACTATAATCTTGTAGGCGAAACTTTTTGCGAAAGAAATGAAACTTTGTCAATTATATTAAAGTTCTAAAAATAAGGTGCTAATTTTCCATGAAAGCTGTAATATAGTTAACCGTATATGACAGAACAGTTTGTTATAATGTAATTAATATATCACCAACACTCTTGGTGAAAATCGATCGTCACAATACGTGCATACATATATGTAGGGATTGGATATATTCATACATATACACAACTACATGAATTACGCGCGCCTTGAATGTCCCGAATTCGTTGCATTTGGATCGGATAAATTGATATGGCACTTGTGAAGCGTATCCACATGCGCGTTTTACCTTGGCATAAATTCGCAACTTGTAAGATATATATATACACGCTCATTCATGGATAAATGTCATCTCTAGGGTACGGGAGAACTTTATAATCTGACAGAAGTAAATGCGTCGAGCCTTTCCTCAAGCAACGGATATTTAACACGTCGAAGTAATTTTATTATCATATGCATATTTTAAATTAAACCTGTTCTTTCGCTCTCATCACGAACGCTGCGAAAAGCATCATGCTGTGGAATATTAATTGCGACCTATCATTTTCTTTTTTGCGAACTGAATTTTGCCGTTTATATTAATCCACAAGAACGTTTTTCCAATATGATATCTAATAATAAAGGCGTCTGGCAGCGACGAATTTTCGTCGAAGGACGAGTGAAGATTGCGTTTCGTTAAATCTTTTACTAATTTTACAATTCTTGTAATTGCATTCTCATTGCATATAAACGTACTTGGAGTTATATTTTCGACAATTTTCCTTTTCATTCTGCCTCGAAATAGACATCTACTTGGATTATGTTTGCGTATTATGGGAAGAGAAAGTAAGGTGTACACACGCGAGTTTTGCATACGAAGGATCACATACATATTCAATATACATTTGATAATTTATTTCCATAGCACATTTGAGCATCAGGCCAATGTATAAATATGGCACAATGATTTCATTGCCACGCGTTAAGAATCGATATGACGTCGATATATTACATCCGCATGGGTTGCCTTTGATGACCCGCACGCGTGTACAGGTGCGATCGTCTTCCTGTCCGATTACACTTGGTCGGTTTGTGTGACGACCTTGCTCAATCAACCAACAAGAGATGTTGTCACAGAATTCTTGTTGAAACATGTTATAAAAATTAGTAATAAGTCATTTTTAAAATATTTTGTTTTTATTTAATGTCTGCTAATTATATATTTGAAATTTTGTCATTTATAGAAATAAAAAACAAAATATTTCAAAAATTAATTATTAATTGTTTATATAGTGCGGAATTCTGATAAATCTACTTGAAATATTCTATTTTTAATTTTAATTACAATAGTAGAATAAAATTAATGTCACATCTGCTAATTATATATTTGAAATTTTGTAATTTCGAAATTGTTTCATATTAAATTAACGAGAGATGTGCGCACGATCTTTGCCCGCTTGTGTTTATTCATATTTTATAAATAACTATTATCCGTACATAATTTTTTCTTTAGCATCTCAAGCGCACGTAGAATGGACGCTTCGCGATGGAAATAGGCGATCAGTCAGCATAGTAGACGACCCCAGGTCGTCCTGATTGACCGGCTCATCCGCAACCGTTCCCGAGAAGACTGACCCGGTTGCTTGTTCGCGATGGCTACTATGGCGTCGACGGAGAAGATGGATATGGACAAGGACTTGCCGAAGAAGAAGCTCATCAACACGAATCTGATATCGCTCAAATGTCTTCTGTTCGTCTTTTTTGGAGGTAGGTAGATATCGATTGACGTCGCAAAAACAATCGTTTTAGTTCGAACAACTTTTACGATTATTTTTCTTCAGGCATCGGCTGTCTCTTTCCATTTCTTCCACTGCACATGACGAAGGTGGGACTGAGCATCGAAAATGTCAGGTTTGTGTCAATGATCTCGCCGGCAGTGGCGATATTGGGGCCGCTGATAGCGGGACCGATTGCTGACAAACTCGCCAGCCATCAGAGCAACAATGACAAATCATCGACTGGTCGTTACCTTCGCGTGATGATCGCCGTTGCGTGCATTTTTTCGGCACTCTTTTACTCGCTATTGTTGATAGTGCCCTCCGTAGACCGCACACTGCCGTTGGGCGAGCAGGGTCCGAGCCTCAAGTTCAATTGTGATCGGCGAGGAGCGATGGTACGAAGTTTAATGATTAAATTAATAGATAAATAATAAAGAGAATTAAGAGAAAATTCAGATATACATTTAAAGAATATTTTAATTGTATACATAGAATCCATATTAGGAGAGTAAAAAAGTATGGAAAAAATACATTTGAATTTTATATAGTCAAAATATTCTTTTTCTCTTTTTTTTCTAATTGTAAATAATATCAAATTATAATGTAATGCCATCTCCTAGGTGCGGCAAGAAAGATGCGAAGATCGTTTCGGTTGTCATCGCTGGGCCGATGACGACAGCGGGGTGGGCATCATGCTACTAAAAGACTGTAACTATGTTTGCTATCCGATCGGTTCGCAACGATGGCATTCAGAAGTCGCTACTGATACAACGACTTCTCAAAGCGTCGATCCTGAAGTTGATTTCTTTGACGGCAGCGGCGAGACCACGGTGGCACCGTTATACAGTGAACTTTATGCGCCGGTAAAGCTACAATTACAATAAATGCGACATCTCGACTGTTTGTATTACAAGACGAATGTGTCGCGATAAAACATAAATTAGTATTATAAATTATGAAAAATTTAATTGTGTAAATAGAAATTTTAACTGGAAATAGCATTTACATGTATCTAGTAAAGAGAAAAACATATTCTCTTTTCTTTCTTTCGTAAAAATAAAATTAAGCAAATAATCGTGATCAACGCATAATTTATGTATAATTATATACATGAGTCATAATTTTCACAGGAGGATCGCGAAGAAACGAAAAAAACTCGTCGTTATGTCATGGCTGAAAACGAGCCGCCGCATTTATGTTACAAGGATGAAGACGACGACATTATCTGTCATGTTTATACAGAGTACTCAGGTGTTTTGCCGGTGAATGGTAGTCTTGGACAGGCATTGAATCCCGAAAATGAAGAGGAATGGTGCGCATATCCTATGGCTGAGTACTTTGCTTGTCGCATACCGTCCGAGTTGGAAGTCAGAATGGCCGAATTTAATCAGAGTTGCTCCATTGAATGCGAGCTGGTCAATCCCTATACTCTTCCAGGTAATAATTTATACGCAATTAATTAGAAATTCAATTCCATGTCTTGAATTTTTTATTTAGAATTAAGCACCTTTTTTATATAGAAATTATAGCTATAATTAGAAATGCAGTCCCAAGAGATCGATTCTTTGAAGATTTCCGTAATAATCATGTTTTAATACTTTTATATAGCATTACTAAACGAGACTTGACAAATAAAAAATTTTAAAAGAGTACAAATATCATATATCATCTTTATTGATTTGGCGACTCTATTTTTCGCGATGACAGCAAAGAAAAATTGCAGATTTTTCTTTTACATTGGTGATAATATACCATTTCAGGCAGTGTGTTGGCGGAAAGCCAGTGTCAACGTACTGGAGATTGGGCGGAAGCAGCGTTTTGGATGTATCTATTCATACGTTCGATCGCGGATATCTTCCCGACGACTGCCGTGGCTCTAATCGATGCGGCGGTGGTGATCGCGACGAGGGAGACGTCATGCGGTCGCGGCGACGTAGGACGCCAATTGGCCTTCGGTTCTCTTGGTTTTGCTCTACTAGGACCGTTGACCGGCTATCTGAGTACTCTAACGAACGATATCGGGCCGGCCTATTGGCTACCGCTCATTCTACACGCCGTGCTCATGATCCTCACAGCCGTCATCGCTTTGTCAGCGAATGGCATGCCGCTCAGTCCACCGGAATGGTGGTGGCACACGAGAAGCGGCATGCTGGCGCTACCAATGAGTGCTATCAAGAGATACGGTAGCGAGACCGCTGCTTTGGTCTTCATCCTATTAGTTATGGGGACTTTCTGGAGTGCGATAGATAGTTATTTGCCTTTGTAAGAATCTATTAAGATAAAGTTATTAGCTAAAATAATTTAATCGTTTGTTAAACTGTGATTCGAGACATTAGGATTTTTTTTTTGTCACACAGGCATCTGCAAAAACTAGGGGGTAATGAACTTTCCATTGGTGTCGCTATGACTGTTGGAGCAATTCCAGCGTTCCTGTTTCTTTGGAAATCGGAACATCTTGTGGATTATTGTGGACACAGTAATCTTCTCATCACTGCCTTTACGGTGTATATAATCAGGTAGGTAAGTTTTTTCTGATAAACGGATGATAATCGCAAATATAACTGAAGAAAGATCTCTTCTTGTTGTGTAAGTTTTCACATTTGTTTGAAAAATTTGACTTAATTAACCAATACAATAGATTCACCGTATTGAGTTACGTGTCGGAGCCTTGGTGGTCTCTAATTACGGAGGCTTTAGAAGTATTCACCTTAGGAATAATGTGGGTTACTGCCATTCTCTACCTAAGACATTTGGTACCGCGTCATTTGACTGTGACTGCCCAAGCGCTGCCTGTGATAGCTCACTTTTGCGTCGGTATGTCTCGTCATTTATAGCGTATATACTCAGGTTTGAATGATATTGACTTTTCTATTTGATGCACAGGCCGATGCCTCGGAGCCGTCGTCGGTGCTTATATAAATTTTGCTGACGGGGATATTGTAGAATCGCTAAGATCCGTGTATTATTACATGGCGATAGCGGCAGCTATTGTTGCCGCCTTGTATTTCGTCTTATATCACGGTCTACTAAAGCCGAGATGTCATGCACACACTATTCAAGGTCCGCGTCAACCTCTTACAATTATGCAAGGTAAACGATATTCTATTGTACACATGTAATATATATGATTAAATTCATCGCACTCTGTCTAACGTATACATCACAATTTTAATTTTACAAGCTGCCATAAAAGACGAATTGAGTAAGTGATCAAACACGATCGAGATTTTCGACTTCGTGTTCTTCGAAATACATGTACATATCTTATATGTGTTATCTCTAATAATGTTTCTTTATTAAAACGTGGAAATTTTCAAAACTGTTTTCTCCGATTTTGATTTTGTCTGTCATGATCGGAAAAAAGACCAGTTCTGCGCATTTCCGCGGAATATCCCTCCTCTGCATGGATCATGGAGAACTATGTCTGTCAGTTATTTTCGCGAATTCGCGTTATATTTCTAATTTTCATCGTTTTCCATAATTTTTTTTTATAATTTTCCAACTATAGCGATGAACGGAAACGGGAATTACATGCCGCTGAGGGTATATCATAATGGAATGGGCAAAAAAGGTCAATTTCGATACTGAGAAGATCTATGAAGATGAATGAAGATTATTTAGGAATGAAGCTACAACACATGAACTTCAAGATATACAAATTGCCGATGATATGTGCTCTCACATGTATTTTCGTTGCATCACATTTATCATTAATTTGTAAAATCTAAAACAACTGCATTATCATTTTTGTTTCTTAATGCTATTATTTATATAAGAATTATTATATTATAAGAATCATTACTTGCTCAAGTACTTTCTATGAGCTATATCACACATCAGTTTTTACATTTCTAATTATAAAAGTGTAAGCTGTGACAAATATAAACTTTTTTGTCTATCGCAATAATAAAAAGCGAAGTAATACTTCTCTTCATGTGCGAACGTTCTGTATAACAAAAGTTACATGTGACTATAATACTTTAATTTTTTATACTGTAAATTCATTTTTTGTACAATTGCTATGTTCATAAAACTATCAACATACGAATAGATGAAGAACTTTCTATGATGAAAAACTTTACAGCGAGACTTACATGTATCTTTACATGAAACATAAATCGATTATAGATATTGATATGCTAAAGGTAAAACATCTACTTGACCAATGTTACGTTTCTGTGAGTTGATATATATGTACACCAAAAAAAAATGAAATAAAAAATACAGAAAGAAAAATAATCTGTAATTATTATCTTAAAAACAATTATATCCCGTACTGATTATTCATATTAAATTCAGACACAATTGAACAACTTTGAACAAAGTTTTGTTCTATTTATTGAAATGCTTACAGCCGAAAGAAAATGTTTTCTCTTTCTCTCTCTCTCTCTGTCTCCCTTTTACATTGCAAAAACTATATTGTAAATCTAAAGTAAATTTCTAACATATATGTTATATAAAACAATTTATTCATACACTTATCTTAATATTTGTGTACATACGCGTATGTATGAGTCACAAACACATGCAAATATCTATAGATATAATACATAAGTATTTATATTATATAGCATATGTATACGCACACAGATGCATTGTTCAACAATTCGCTGCGCATATCACGCAATAATATAATAATAGTCACCACAAAAGTATAACATTTTAATTATTTGTTCTTTATACAGAATGATAGGATTCTTATGTACAATATATATGCAAATGGCATAATCGTACTACAATGCAAATTATATACCTCATAATATGTAAATTAAAATGTGCAAAATGTTTGCTGTTTTAATAATGAAAACAAATAAGAATGTTTTTTTTTTCTTTCCAATAAATATATTTTATACACTACTTCAGACTTTGTGCTATTTATAGAGTAAACTTAAATAACAATAAATTCTCTTTTACGTATTGATTATCTTTCGATATTCATATATAGACAAAAAATTCAGTCTAACTTATAATAAAAAAATTGATCTATACCACTTATTATCATCACAATAGCAATATACCAAATAAATTTCTAAACACTCTAGAAGATCTATTTTCTTGAAAAAAAGTGCCACATATCTTATTTAAGATTTCATTTAAATAATTATTTTTTTTCAGAATACTGAAGAATACAGATATGAAAGAATGAATATGTAAAATATATGTTATAATTTCTATGATGTGTGTTTCAAGTTCTTCTATTCAAATTCAATATTTTAAAATTAAAATTTTCTTTCAAAATCAATATTATTAGTAAATATATCTCTTTGTTCAATAGAATATACCTCTTTGTTAATGGAAACTATATTGTGATCAAAATTTGAAATATTATTATTATTATTACATCTTACAGGAATTCATCAAATGCAGAAAATTTTTAAAAATAAAATGTACTAAATTATAAAGCTTCAAGAAAAATTATATTGTATTTATATATAGTTTGAATTTTTAAATTATATTGTGTAGCAAAGTTTATGGTAGATATAATTTAGAGAGCTCATTTCTCCTAAAGTATAGGCCAAAGTTAACTTTTGATAATAACTTTTAACTTAATAAAAAGTTAACTTTTAATTTGTGTTTAATTGTATAGTACTTTATTGTATATAGTACTTAATGTGAAACGGAATATATCCTTAAACAAAATTTCATTTCTATCTGTAAAATAAATTTAATTTCTTTTAGAAACAAGCTCTTTATTTGATTTTTCTAGATCAAATATCTTTACAATCATGTTCAAGATAAACTATTATACAACTTTTATACAATGTAAATTATTTCTGACACATTAAAATATTCAAAAGATAAAAAATTGGAAATGAAAAAACGCGTTTTTGTGAATTGCAAATTAATTGCAATCATTAGAATTTGATGAACTGCACATTGATAAACAATGTCTCTCATTAATCATCGATAATAGTACAATCATCCTCATTTCCCTTTGAAGTAGTTGTTTCCATATTTACTGTATTATTAACAATTGTGCCTGATTTTGGATCTTCATTATTTGACATTATCGATGTCGTCCCTCCATCTGTTACATTGTCGTGAGTATTTTGTAATTTTTCATCAAGTAGAATCATTCCTTGTATTCTGATATTTTTTGTTTTTTGTATTGTAATATCAGAATCTGAGTCATTAAGAATCTTTTGGTCATCATTATTAATTGTACTTTTCAACGTATCAGTCATATCGTTTATTGCATTAATATGATCATTTAAATTATTTTTCTCACTTTTTTCTTTTTCACAAATTTTCGATTCATCAGTAGATATATCAGTAGATATATCAGTTGAATTGGTATTTTTAAGTAAATGTGAAATAAATGATGAATTTGTTTCTATCAATTCTTGAAACGGTATTTCATGCGAGTCTTCAAAACTTTCTACATCTTCTGTCTGAAAGCCATGATCTTCGATGTGCTGCAAATAAAATATAAACTGTTCCTCATATTTACCAAAATTTTTGTCTGGTGGTGACATTTGTTTCAAGACACTATTGTCCACTTTTGAATCATTATTAGATTTTGTCAACATAGAATAAGAGATACATTTCTCATAATCTCTTGGGATGTTGTACACTTGAGTTGTTTTGTCCACAGACAAATGCACTTTAGCATCACCAGTGCCACGATGTATAACTGTTTTTTTAGAAAATAACAAGTTTTCAATAATATTGCCACTTTTAACAAGATCGGATGGTTTCTTAATTCGATATTCCGATCCTTCATAATCGGATTCGGTATCAGAATCGTTAACACAGATCATATCTAAAGGAATTTCTACATTTTCTTGGGACGCTAATTCGTTTTCATCTAGTGAAGACTGCATTTCTGCAAGTTGTGTTTCTGTCTTTTGAGACCTCCACCATCCGTTGTACTCGCGCACTATCCTATCATTGATATTCGTTAATTGGAGGACTGTGTTGCGCATATTCCAATAGAACTGCTTAATCTTCTGTTGGGCTGCCACTTCAACGTCTTGTATCGCGTTATTTAAATCGAAAAAACAATACATTTTTTCTTTCACGTCACTTAAAAGTTTATCGAGTTCTTGACTGTACGGCAACATTATTTCACTGAAAGAAGCGACATTCTTTGTCAAAGTCGAGCTCATTTCTCGCAGAGGTTGTTCCTCCTTTACGCCATCATCGTCGCTATTTTCCCAAGTGAGAGCCACAGGTACCACTTTGTCGAGCGAAATATCTACAACATCCATGTCGTCGTCCCCATTGACTGTTGGATTATTTTGTTGTTGAACGACTCTTGGCTCGTCGTCGGAATCACTATCGAGATCAATTATATTGGGAGTCAATGTTAGATTCACTTTTCTCCGCTTCGGAAGAAGATAGACCGATCTGCCACTTTTGTCTGTCGGATTAGGTATAGACACCATTGTGTTTTGTGAAGACTGAAGCGACTGTGGCTGTTGATACGGGGTTGATACTGGCGGTGGCGGCGGCATTTGATACGAGGTTGATGACTGTATTGGCGGCGGTGGTGGTGCCGGAAGAATAATCCGATTCCGAGTCGTAGGATTCACTATAGCGGGTGTTCGTATGTAAGTGTTAGATCCTGCGCTGTTCATAAAAGTTGTATGGTACAGAGGAGGCTGCTGCAATACATTAGAATCGTATCTCGATGGTAATGAAGTATTTGAATTTATCACGCTAGGCGATGGAACGACGATGCTCTCTGATGAGCTTTCGCAATTCGTAGATTGCGATGGGCCAGTCAAATACGAAGACGGACGTGGTCTGATGGGAATCGGCGCAGATTTTACTCTCACAAAAACTGGTTTTTCAACTCTGCCGTTTGCTTTGATTCTAACTGGCAATTTCTTAATTGGTTTACTGGTTTCCTCCTCAAGTATGTATGTTTCGTCCTCTTCTTCGGAATTGGATTCCATTCTTCGACGCTTACGTTTCCTCCTACGTGGGCAACAGGGTGTTTCATCCAAATTCATCTTTGCTTCAATCTCGGAGGCGCTTAAATCTTTATCATTTTGTATTATCCTGAAATATGACATTTTGACTTTTACAATGAAGTAATTTGATGAAAATTAATGTTTCTAATATTGTACTTATGCAATATTACCTTGTCATTGTCCGTACATATTCAAGTAGAGCCCAGCATATACCCCTTGCGCTATATAAATCAGTTGGATTGCATACAAAACATTTCCATTTTTCGTCCGCTTCAATTTTTTTTCTTATCGAAAGAGCGAAATTTCGTTTTATACATTTATAACAGAATGTATTACTACAATATGAGCAGCAATATAAATTGCCACCATTTGCACACCATCTACAGAACATATCTGTAGCATCATCACCTAAGAATGTAACATAATTTAAAAAACATTAGTATATATATAAACACATATTCACGAAGATAATATAATAAAATATTGAATAAAATATTGAAATTAATGAAATTAATGAACTCTATAAATTATTACCTTGTTCAAAGCTACCATCTCCATAAAATTCACGACAATTCGCACATAACAATGTGCGAAGCACAGGATGTTCAAACATGTTATCGATCTGAGCTGGAGCAGAACCAATATGCATATCACAAGCTGTACAATGGAGTCTTCGATATCGCACGGATGAAATGTCTAAAAGGATAAATACCTATATTATAATATACAACTCCTATATAACTAAAAGGAGCATTGATCTTTCATAATATAATCTGTATTTTCCCTATAATAAACTTTAATTCTAGAATACAAATACAAAAGAAAATCTAAACTAAATTAAAAATTATTTGTTGCAAATAAAAAACCATCTTTAGAAAAAGAGAAGAAGAGAGATAGAAAAAACTGACCATTTTTGAACATAAGCTTGTAGAAATTGCTCTCCTCCTGAGAAATTGGTGGGACTGTGCTGGTCGTGCTGGATGCCTGATCTTGTCCTGGTGTTACTGGAAGAGAGACAAGTAGGTTAGATCATCGAAATCATCCGGATGCGAGAATCGCGTATCGCCATCTCCTCACCGTTTTCCTTAACGTCCGTTTCCTCCTTCACCTGTACTTCGAGCATGCTCGAGATATCCATGGTGTTTGTTCGCGGGCTCGGCCGTCAGAAAGACGCTCGCTTCAAAACACAACAAGCCGCGGCCACCGCGGCTATTATACCGCCATTTCTCCGCGAAAGCGACCGGTCTCTGTGGACCTGACCGACGAAGAGACGCAAGTCTATTCGACGATCCTTCTCGTGACGCTGTTGTGGAAAAAAATTTGGAATTTCCGAATGGAATGGTACATCGGGAAGGGAGAGAGAAAGAGGATGAGAGAAGGTAGTTCTCGTTCATGGAAACGTGGCGTTCATTTTCGAAACAGAACTTTGCTCTCCCCGCGCCAAACATTCATCAAACCATCATGCACTGTTACGAGGAGGGATGGACATTTAACGCTCGCTCTGTCATACAAATCACGAAAGAAAAAGTTACCGCCTTTGGACGTGTTTCTGCGCGATTTTTGAGTTTCTCCCTCTCTCGAGGGCTTCGACAGTAACACCATATATCAGTTTATGGCCAGTATCTAATATTCCTCTTGGAAATTAGGGACTACTTAAATTAAATAAAAAAAAAAAAATCACGAAAGTAACGGGATTATTATTGAAGCATGTCATGCTCGAGTTATCTGTACATGCATACTGTAAAGCTAGAAAAGTGTGTACGTATGACAAATCAAACTATATTTGATTTTGCAAAAAATAGCGTAGACATGAAATATGATTAATTATATCAGATAAAATTTAACTAATTAGCTGTCAAGAATTAAATTTGTATTATTTCACATAATTATTTGATAGGTATACGTAATCCTAGAGATATTCGTGAAACTTATTCATTTTTATGGTCTCTCGCAGGGATCATATGGGACGAGGGTTCGAGCTGAAGTAACTCCAATACTGCGGATGCGGATATTGCTTTGGTGACGGCTTGTTTAAAAATGGCGCACATTTTCGATTTGTTCTCGCGAGAGAACTCACGAAACACGCAATTACCTTGCGAAGATGGACGAGAAAATCGCGAAAGATGCGTCCCTCGACAAAACAGCGCGAAAACTTACCGATGACATGCAGAACATGTCAAATTATAAAGCCCTTTATAACGAGATACAGGTAAAAATGATTCAATACCAGGCCACATACTCATTGAATATCAAGCTAAAATACTTTCGAAATTGATTGCAGAGAATCGTTGCTTCGCCCATCGTAGATAAAGATGATTTCAAGAATTCATTAATCACAGCTCTGAAAAATAACGGCTTGGAGACGGAGATCAGAAACACAGTGTTTCACTGGGCACGATCACGGGTACATAGTTGATCAGCTCCAATTTATGGACTACTGCTAATGGAAATTTCTTTATAGGGTTCACTGCATTCTCGATCAGTTTCGCATATACAGGTGACGGATCTGAGCTACTTAAAAAAGACTCAAATTCAATGGGAACGACGTATTCAAAAATCATTGAATTCAACTTGTAGTGAATTAAATATTCCATTGGCTCGTATAAGGCTTACTACCGATAGAGACGAATTGGCGGAAAAATGGAATGAATTGAGTACTTACGACATCGGTAATTTATTTTTTTAAACCTGCAAATAAAATATAAAATTTAATTTTTATGAAATCACTTATATAAGATAAATTAATATATGTTTCATGAAGAAATTTTACCTTTAGATTTATCACAATATCGCCCATTGTATGCGCCAAAGGACTTTTTGGATGTACTGTTTTCCATACGTGATCCTTCTTTTAAAAAACAACTGTGTGTAATTATACATAAATATATAGATTTATCTACATATAAATTAATCTATCTATATTTCTTAGAAACTAAAAATATATATCATCAAGTCTTTTATATAAAAATATTTTAGAGATGAACTAAATTGGGATTTCAGTCATATACAAATTAATGTAAAGACACTTGCACAGTTGGTACGAATTTTAAAGTTACTCCTGTAATTTAAAATTGATATGATTGTATGTATCAAACATTTTTTGTTCTCTTTATATAGAGACGTATGTACTCAGGATTAGCACAGGGAATGCCATTACTTGGTATAAATCCTGATATGCCAGCTACAGAAAATTTCCCAAATTTAGAAGCCGAGCGAACGCACATTGGGGAAAAAGTATTGAATTCGAATCATGCTCCGATCGCCCAAGAATTTCTTAAGAGAGGATCTCCTCGAGCATTGCGCGGTCGTCTCTGGTCGCTCGTTCTGGGATCTGTTATCAAAGATAATGTATAATTACTAGGGATCTTTTTTTCTTTTATAATCATGAAATGTAGATAATTCTTTTTTTTTAGGACATAGAATATTACGAAGAATTGAAAAATATGGTTTTACAATATGATATTGTTGTAGACAAGTTAATAATAATGGTGATTTATATTTTTTTTCTTAAATTACATTATCTTTTTAAATAAAAGAAAAAAATCATATGTTGATATTGCTGTAGGATGTACAATTAACAGCGAGAAACGACGATCAATATTTTGTATTTGAAGATGTCTTGTATAAAACAATGCTATGCTTCTCAAGAGATTCCGAAATACTTGCACCAGTCACAACTGACAGAAGCGCTGGTGGTCAAGTGATCCACGCGGTTTTGCAAGGCAAACCAGCGACGTTAGAAAATACCTTAGTTTTTCCACCAAGCGGTGTTATTCCATTTCATGGATTCACAATGTATGGTAAGGAATTGCAGAACATGTTAGAATTTCATTAATTAATTATTACATCAATATTTTTATGTCAGCTACACCATTTTGTTATTTATATGACAATCCCTGTGCTATGTATTATACCTTTCGTGCATTCTATCTGAGATATTGGTTTCGTTTACACACTGTGTCAAGTCACGAGCAAGGTATAGTTGCTCTCTGTTTACTCTTTGAACGATTACTGCAATGCCATGAACCACAGTTGTGGATCCATTTCAAAAATTTACATATTCAACCGTAAGTTTATTATGTTTTTCCTCTCCTATATTTTTATTTGCATAATTCATTAATGCATATGTTTTTAGTATAAGAATAGTTTTCAAATGGCTTATGAGAGGTTTTAGTGGTCATTTACCACCTGAACAATTATTATATCTTTGGGATTTAATACTGGGTTATGATTCATTAGAAATTATTCCTCTATTAGCAGTGACAATATTGAGTTTTCGAAAAGAAAATTTACTGCAAGTTAATACCCAACAAAATGTAGAGGTATAAATATGATCTTATTGGTATAAATGTATATTTTGTGTATATTTCTATATATTTAACATTTATATATGTATTTTTTATTTTCAGGCAGTATTAGCAGATTTATCTTCGTTAAAAGTGATGCCTCTACTGCAGCTAGCTCTTCTTAAAGAATAATACAATTTTTATTATGTATATATAAAAAAAATCACATTACAGAATTTGTAAATTTTTATGTCATTTCTCTTTTATCCTACGTATGTATTCAGTGATTTTATTCATGAAATATCGATATCGGGGAATATTAATGTATAGATGTCACACGTTGAATAAATAATAGACATTATAAACTTTATATCGCTAATTTTCAAAGCTGTAAATAATCGCTTATATCTACGATATCTGACTTGAAATAATGTCATCGCGTGGGAGGGATAAAGGTCGCCGGTGTCTCGAGGGGGAGAAGAGTGGAGGGAGAATTTTCCTGTTTCCGGCTGTCAACCGTAGAAGTTGGTAGAGCAGCGTAGAGCATCGACGCTGATCGACGTCCTGCCTGTGGCTCGTCTTTTCGCGCGTTTATCTCGTCACTACGGGAAATTTCGCGGAATAGAAAGTGCGAATAAAATTGACGCCGTGCGTGAATGCGCTTCGATTTGCAGATCGTGAGTATCCCGCTTTCGTCGCGTCTCTCTGACAGCGTCGTTACAGTGGCAACGCCGAATCGGCGATCTACAGCCCCACATCGAACGAAGGGTAGGGTGGTGTTCTCTCACCCCCAAATTATTAGTCATGCACCGCGGTTTGCTCGGTGGCGAGTGTTGCGTCAGCGTTGTTCGTTCGCACGAATCTGTTTGTTGACGCAATCTCGAGAAACGCTGTGCTTGACAGAGTCGATTTCTCCCTGCCATTATCCGCGCCGAGAGCAACGCCCAGCGAATTATTCGCGTCTGTGTTCGAACGATTGCATTCCTTTGCGTAAAATTTGCGATCGCGAGACTTTTTTTCCCATAAAAGTTTTCGGTAACGCTCTCCGTCTTGGTTTTATTAAAACTGTATTTATTACATTCTGAAAAAATCCCGATATTTACTATATATGCTTATCGTACACACAAGTGCTTTATCTCAGATTTAATAAACATATATCTTAAAAGATTAAAGGCAGAACTCACAAATGAATAGCTAATTAGATATATACATATTATTTATATATATATATATATGTTTAAGAATTTATTATTTATATAAAAAATTTTAATGAGATATAATATATTTTTTTATTTTCTTTAGATTACATGATTTAAGTAGAGTGTGGATATTTGAATTAAATTAGCAGCATAAAGATGGCTTGGCGTTTCAAGGCATCCAAATACAAAAATGCCACACCGATTGTTCCCAAGCCAGAGGCTTGCATTAGAGATATTTCTGTGGGATCATATCAAACTTATGGGAATAATATAACGGCATCTGCGGCATTTATGGCATTCAATGTTGATCATAATGGTACATTTGCATCTATCTACAATAGATTTAGTCTTTGTTAAATTTAATTTATTTACACACAAGTTATTTTTTTAAATGTTTCTTTTTAAAGGATCCAGTTTAGCGGTATTATCATTGGAAGACTGTGGTAGAAAGAGCAAAACTATGCCATTACTTCATGCACATGCGGATACTGTGACACATATGGATTTTTCTCCATTTCATGATGGCTTGCTTGCAACTGGTTCTCAAGATTGTCTTGTGAGTGTCTTGATGTTTTATATTTTCAGCAAAATGTAAGATGTAGGAAATATTGTAAGATACATTTTTCTACAGATTATATTAATCCTATTTGTAAAATTAGGTGAAGTTATGGCATATCCCAGAAAGTGGTTTGGAAGAATCCTTGTGCAATCCAGAATGCACATTCTCGCATCGTCAACGAAGAGTGGAAGCAGTATGTTGGCATCCTTCTGCTGAACATCTTCTGACCACTGCATCATTCACCAATCTCTCACTCTGGGATGTTCTTTCTCAGCAAGAATTATTCTGTAAATATTTTGAAACTTTTTTTTGGCATTTGCCTTATTTTATCGCTATTGAAATTAATTTTATGATATTGCAGCTAACAGTGACCACACAGAAGTAATTCAGTCTGTAAGTTGGAAGCAAGATGGTATCATTTTGGCAACGTCTTGCAAAGATAAGCAATTAAGGATTATAGATCCGCGCGCATCTGCATGTATCGTTAACTCGTGCTCAAGTCATCAAAGTATCAAAGATTCCAGAATAGTTTGGCTAAATAGCGACAGAATACTCACTACAGGATTTGATGCAGCAAGATTGCGTCAAGTTTTCATTAGGGATTTGAGACAATTGAATGAACCTGTGAAAACATTGGAATTAGATTGTAGTACTGGGTAAATATGAATTTCTTTAGTTTATTTTAAATTATTTTAAGTTAATATCGATAATTGTTTATATATATAATGTTATATTTTGTAGTATCTTGATGCCGCTTTTCGATCCTGATACAAATATGCTCTTTCTCGCTGGAAAAGGGGATACTACTATTATGTACATGGAAGTTACAGATAAAGATCCTTATCTGGTAGAAGGAATCCGTCATAGCGGTGAGCAAACTAAAGGAGTTTGCCTGGTTCCTAAACGAGCATTGAATGTAATGCAAGCTGAAGTTAACAGACTATTACAACTCACTTCTAATATGGTGATTCCAATCATGTATCAAGTTCCACGAAAAGTAAGTACTAAATATCATCTATATGAATTTTTACATGTAATATATAGCTAAATGTTTTATAATTAAATTTTAGACATACAGAGACTTTCATGCAGACATTTATCCAGAAACAACTGGATGTGTTGCTCAAAATAACGCAGGAGCATGGATTAAAGGTCATAATGCATCTGTACCAAAGATATCATTGGATCCTGCTAAGAGAAACAAAGGCGAAGAACCAATTACTGTGAGTAAACATTTTAAAAGCTGTTGTGAATGTGTTTTAATATTGATCTTAATATCATATATATTTGGAATAGCTTTGATCATTAAAAGGACTGAAACATCTTTCTGATCATATCTGTAAATATTCATTGTATGATTATTTCAAATTTTTAAATCACTTATCATTATGCATGCTTTTCATCATCAGAATTTATTTTTTTTGCATTATTATTTTGTTTGCTTCATAATAATTGGATGTTGAGGATAAACATTGGGGTGTGATATGTCAATGATATTGTTATTTCACACATACAATATTTATTTTTACTTTATACATACAATAGGTAATGTATTTTTAAATGGATTTTGTTACATTTTGAAATTCTGGAATATGTAAAAAGAAATCAATTTAATAATATATTTTTTTTATACAAAACACATACCGAGTTTTGTTTTCTGAAGCGTTGAAAAGTGTTACACAACATAATTTTTTTTTTAAATTGCTTGCTAACCTACACCAGCTAATTTTGTAATAAGCGTTTGCAATATATATATTTTCATGATTATATGGAGTATAAATTTTAGTATGCTAAGAAAAAAAATATTATTTATATATTATGAATATAAGATCAGTAGAAAATATAATGTAAGGATATTTTTATTATGGTCTCCATATTTAATCTCTTCTTTGCAGGAGTTTATATAAATTATTTAATTACCGATTATGCTACTACTTTATTTTGCGCCATTTAATTTCTTTTCCTATTCCATGTATATTTTTTTTCACGTTTCAGATATCCAATATATGTTTTATAATTTATACATTAGCACCATTCAAAATATTATTCCTGGCACGTGTAATATAAGTGGCAATTGATGTTGTAGCTTATTCTACAGCGTAAGTAATAGTACAAAATGTGTAAAAACATTTGTATTATTTCTATACATAGAAAGTAGATTTTTTTGTTGCTTCCAACAAATTTAATCAAGAGAAATTTGAAATTTTAGTTATTTAGAAGCTTAGCTATATGTCTTCTGTATATTTGTATCTATACTGTACAAAAAAATGTGACTTATGTGTGTATAAATGTATGTAAAAGTGTGCGAATGTTGCTAAATTGTCGTAAAATTATTACGTCGAATGCGAACATATCTCAAAAGTGCAAAATCGGACAGTGTAGTTGGATTTGTAATTGCGATTTGCGATCATTAAGGAATTTACCGTACCTCCAGGTACACAAAGGGAACTTAGCAGCACTCAAAGACAATCAGCGCGAAATTACAGTAGAACAAACGAATCGGCAATCTAAATCTTTGGCCATTACCACGCCGAAAGGATTCTCGAAAGTGCAAAGCAACGTGAATGAAAATGACACTAACATAGAAAACGATACCGAGAAGATCGAAGACACGAAGAAGCTATCCGAGGGGGAAGAAGAGAAAATTAAGATACAAAATGGAGGTGCTCAAGCCGTTCCACCAAAACCTTTACCGAGAGCATCAAGAACTAACAGTATCTCCGAGGAGGAACCAAAACCGGTAGCACGTCCACGTACATCACCAAATCCTGGCTCAGTAGTTACATCAGTGAATCCTAATGCGATCGGCGGATATAAGGTTGTAATCACAGCTTAGAAAAGAACACGTTATATATAATAAGAAGGATATCTGATTTTTCTATGATATTTTTGCGTGCGGCTAGTTTCCATATCACACTTATCATCATTGTCATAACATTACTAACAATCACTTTTTTACAAGAACAATTCTTGAATGGAGGAACGAATCAATATATTCTCTTTTCTTCTTTTTTTATTTTTAGCCTCGACTTGGTCCCAAACCATTCCAAGCAAAATCTAGCAGCCAGGAATTTTCGTTCGACAAAGTCTTCTCTGTACCTGTCGCACCGAATAATGATAATAATACTAACGGTTATCAGAACGAAGTTAACAACGTTGTAGAACATAACACGGAAGCAGATAAGTCGCCAACTTTTACACCTAATGAACGTACGAAAGACGCGGAAAATGGCAAAAGCGACTCAAGTTCCATCGAGGAAGACGCCAATTCGAGCGATTCTGGTTACAAGCCGAAGACACCATGCACCGCGGAAAGGCGCAAAGTATTCGAAACGAAAGTAAAGGACGAGTCACCTGAGAATGAGGATGTTGGAAATTTCGAACGTGGTTCAACAAACAGGAACTCAATCGCCGAAAGACGACGTCTTTACGAAAGTCGATCCGTATCGGTTACTGATGGAAATTTAGCGGAGAAAGCGATGGGTTCGCCAACTATGTTGAGACGAAGAGATTCCTTCAAGGCGAAGAGCGAGATGATTAAAGAAGACGAAATGAAAAAGAATATTCCCATGTTGCGGCAGCAGAGTATGGATCCCAAATTGGAAAAGGTGGAGCCCGTTGCAACGTTAGCTTCCAAGAGAACATCGACAGTTTTTGGTGAGAACTGAAATGTACTTTGTGAAATTTATTATCTTGATACATTTCTTATTTTTTTGATCGTTATGCAGGAAGAGTATCCAAGTTTCGG